AATGCTAGATGCAGTGGCTCACGCCTGTAATCCCAGCCTCTAGGAAGCTGAGGAGGATAGATTACCTGAGGTCAAGAGTTTGAGACCAGCCTGGCCAACATGGTGAAACCCTGTCTACTAAAAACACAAAAACTAGCTGGGTGTGGGTGGTGGGCACCTGTAGTCCCAGCTACTCAGGAGGCTGAGGCAGGAGAATCATTTGAACCCAGAAGGCAGAGATTGCAGTGAGCTGAGATCTCACCACTGCACTCCAGACTGAATGACAGAGTAAGACTCCATCAGAAAAAGAGAGAAAGAGAGAGACAGAGAAAGAAAAGAAAATAAAGAAAAAGAAAGAAAGAAAGAAGGAAGGAAAGAAGAAAGATCCTTTACTCATTATGAAACTTTCAGCTCTTCAATAGGTTTTACTTTTTCAACCTCATCTAAAGATCACAGTCTGCATGCAGGACTCTCCAAACCATAGGATAAAGCCCACCAAAATAAGAAAATTGATAGTCTGAAATGATTACTGTACTGCCTTTAGATTAGTTGAGAAATGCTTTACTCAATTCCAAAATTTTATTCCAAGAAGGATCTGGAAAATATTAGCTTTCATGGATTGCTTTGGATGCTGCAGGCAGCTGAACATTTCAAAATGTTGCAGATGGTACAATGTGAATTAAGTGCTGTGTTAAAATCGTCTACCTCTGACCTAGACCATGAAGCCTGGCGGGAGACCCTCCCTGAACATCTGCTTATGCCCCTAAGTTTACAGAAAACACAGCTGAACCCGATGAATCAGAAACTATCACAGGAAAAACAGAAACTCAAAGGAAGAAACATTTTCATTGGGAGGCAAAAGAGAAAGCAGGAAGGGATGTCCCCAAGGCACTTCCATAACCCTACACTGAAGTCAGTTGGGCCTTGGGGCCAACTCACGGGAAACATTGGTTGTGCAGCTCACCCAGTCTTTCCTGATCCACTCCAGCCCCCCATCCCTTTGCCTAACCCTGATTTCACCTTCCCTCACACCCTGAGGTTTGAAAATGTTGACAAACCAAGCTGAATGAATCCCATGAACCCTGATACAAAAAAGTATACAAGAGGCAGATGTCATGCTGTTGCCCAAGCTGGAGCACCACAGTGTGATCACAGCTCACTGCAGCCTCCAACTTCTGGGCTCAAGTAATTCTCCTTTCTTAGCCTCCTGAGCAGCTAGGACTCGAGGCATGTGTCATCATGCCTGGCTAATTTGTTTTTATTTTTTGCAGAAATGGGGTCTTGCTATATTGTCCAGGCTGCTCTCAAACTCTTGGCCTCAAGTGATTCCCCCCACCTCGACCTCCCAAAGAGTTGGGATTATAGGCACGAGCCATGCACCTGGTCCAAGACAAATATTCAGAATAAGAACTCACTGACTTCTAGAAGCATCCATGTGTGGTCATCCCTGCCCCACCCCAATTTAGTTGCTAAAGCTCTGTGTTTGGGCAACAAGTGAGGTGGTTGTGGGTGAGAACTTTTCACCGGTGTTTCCTGAAGTGGCCACAGGTTACAGGATGATCCCAGCAATAGCTTTCACAAGTAGTCAATGTCTTCTCCCAAAACTTTGGGGACATCAGGGTAACTTGCTGGGATAAGCAAACTGTAACCAGTTTCTACTGTGAAAAAACCCTCAACCTTTTTGGGTCTTATCAGATGCTGAGACTTATGTGAGAAGATGGGCAGGGTTTTGTTGTATTTGGAGTGCATGTCCAAGTTACAAACTGATTGTATTTCAGAAGGTTTTAGGCTAGATGTTTGGCACTCAGAATGCATTTCTCTTTAGAAATGATGTTTTAAATGGTGCTTCAGTTCTCAAGCCAATCCACAAAAACCCAACTTTATCCTCAATAGGGCTTTGATGCTGTAAAAGTACGTATTTGTAAGAAAAATAACAATGTCCAGAACTGCTGCCATATGAATAACTTAAAAAATAGAAAAAAAATCCATTTGTTAAATACATTACATTCAGCACTGATACTTAGGTGGAAATAAGTTTAATTGAGGGAAATGAAGTATGTGGGAACTTGTCAGAATTCTCAGGGTATATTTGGGAAGTTCTGAAGGCTTTAGAGTTAGTGGCAATGATTTCCTGGAGTGGGTGACCTTGAAAACGCTTCTTAGGAAGTCTGGATTATTTTTCACAAGTTTCCCTAGAGATCTGTGAGGGGTTAGGAAGAGGTAATGAAGAAGAGAGCGTCTTTCCAGTGGGACGTGGGCAACATGAGAACACGTAAGGAAAGGGGATGTTGACCACAAAGTGGATCTGAACACCACGGAAAGGGATTTTGCTGAAAGGAAATCAATGGAATGATTGAAGAGGAAAACATAGGAAGAAAATGGCAAATCCCTCAGCTTAGAAAGCTGGAGTGAGAGCTCCACTCTGACAGGTCCATGGTGGCCTGGGACATTTTGGAGGCTAGTCCAGTGGGGACTGGAGCATCCTCAGAAAGGGGGAAGGACTTGTAGATATGAACTGCTCATAGATGCAGCTGTTTTATGAGACATTTACTACCTATATCACTGGTATAAAGAAATGATAGAACCAAATAGTCAGGAATTGAACCTTAGTTCACTTCTCCAGTAAGTAAGATTGGATACTGAAATTGAATTCTTGCCTTCACAAATGTTATTTCTGCCTCCTCCCTTTTTATTTTCATAAGCCCATCCTCTCTCTGCTTCCTGCTAAAAATAAAACTATACAATTTTTTTAAAAAGAGATGGAGTCTTGCTATGTTGCCCAAGCTGACCTCAAACTCTTGGCCTCAAGCGATCCTCCCACCTCGACCCTCTGAGTAGCTACCAACACACATCATTGTGCCTGGCTATGGCACAGTTTTGTTTTTTTAAGAGCAATTCATTTTTATGCTAATTTGAATCTAAAATTGTTGTTAAAATAAAAAATTTCTCAAATCTATTACGGTGAAGACAACGGGTAAGAGATTGTTTTTCACTAAAGACCAAGTCATATTTAAGACCAAGAAAAGATTATCTTTGCATTCTCTAGGAAAAATTAAATTGCCAAGTAAGTTAGTAACAGCTTCAAAAAATTACTTATTAAGAGGAGAATAATTTTCAAGTACTCTCAATTTGTTGCAGCCACTAATATATAAACTCTCTTGATTATCTGTGTTTTAAATGTCTATTAATAAAAACTCTTTTAGACTCTGGAGCATTTATGAAGTCTAGGTGACAGTACTCTGAGAAAATGAAAGTAATAACATTTCAACTTCTCTATAAATTTAGAATTTCAAGAATTCACACATTGCTATGATTAGTTATTTAAGGGAGCTATTACTTCTTATTGTAGTTAAATCTTACATTTAATTTCCACAGACTGAAAGTTTTAGGAAAATGAATATAATTTAATTGCATTTTAAAAATTATTAGCTTCAGACAGAATTTTACTTCAAGTCTATACATTTAAGAATAAGTGGAGAGCAGGGAACACCAGGTGCTTAGTATATACTATTGCTCAGTTTTCAAGAATCTGTCAACATTTAAGACAAGTCATCTATTAGTACTATCCCAGTCACTGTATGCCCCAAAGAAACAAATAACTCACAACCAACATGGTGTATATTAAACAAGTTACATAATATATACAAACATATATAAATAGTGTCAGATATAAACTAAACATCACACTCAAAAAGAGAAGTTTCTGCAGAATCACGTGCTCAAAGAATGACGGCACGTACATGTTAAATGCAGTGCAGAATATGTAAAAGTTTTAATTATTTAAATGTTATACATTTGCATTTGCAGATGTTATTTTATAATAAGCTACTGTCCTTAAAGAATGTAAAATCATCTCAATGAAGAGCAAAGAGGAAATGAGAAAAAAAAAATCCAGGAAGGAAGTGTTTTAAAGACTCTCATGTAATACAAGTGGCCTTTTTTTTATTATTTCCACATAAAGAAAGAGGCTGTTGCCCTATAAGTCATTTACTAATGAACCCCCGTTTAGTCTTCCCTTTGAATAGAAGGCGTGTTGGGTTGAAAAAGAATGGCTTGTATAATGAGTAATGACCCAGTGCCACTGGCTGAGGTAGGGGCAGACATGCTGTGTCCTGGCTGGTGGGGTTGGTGTTCCGTGAATCCTGCACTGCACCATTTCTAACAGAGACGCTGTGTCCTGGTAGCTACTAGGAGAACGTTCCTTCTTACATGAAGTTCTCTCCTGAGGACAATGTCTGACTACAAGATGTTTTTGTCTTTTGTTTTTCTTTATACAAATGTGGCATTTTCAAGGGCTTATGCTAATTCATGTCTTTCTTTCCCAGAAGGACATTAAAGCCAAATTTGGATTTTAATCTGGATGGGATCAGATGAAATTCAGGCCCCACAGACTGGCATCATGTACAGGAGGTGGGAGCTTGTAGAGAGGCAGAATCTCAGGTCCAACCCCAGACCCTGCATTTTAACAGCTAGGTGATTCTGATTCCGATGCAGTTTGAAAAGCACTGCTCTGGGCTATAAGCTTCAATTAAAGAATATGGTCCAGAACATTCCATTCTGGGAGTTCTCATGGCCCTTGGCAAATTATCACAGTTTACCACTTGCTATGGGCTGCAGCTGGAAGAGCCTCTTTTGGCAAAGATCCTTACGAAATTCGGCAAGAGACCAAAAAGACTTTAAAAATAGCATTTTATACTAATTCTCCTACACTTGACATGTCTATTTATGATTTTGGCTTGGGTGTGCTGCTAACGGAGCCAAAAAAAAAGGTGCCTATTAAAATGGGTAAAATAAATAACAAGTCCCTATGAGCAATAAAACTAAAATAAATTTAAGTTGTTTTAGGAGTGATATTTTAAATTAGGCTTGATGTTTTAACCATAAAACAAAAAGGTCTGATCAATGATCATTGAAGCAACGTAAAATGATTTCACTCTTCTCTTTTAAACAAGCCCAGTTTGTATTTTTTCCATGTTATAAAAATAAAATCAACAAAGCCACTGATTAGACCAGACTCCTACCTTTAGATCCTGTGGATTGATATCAGGATTTGTTTGACACTGCAGAGGTCCCAGAGTTTGAATATAGAAAATATAGAGAAGAAATTCATCCCGGGCAGAGAAAGGCCAGCCCACCTCCAGGATGGTGTCACTGATCGTACTTGGTCCAATATTGTGCAGCTGTAAACAAGTGACATGTTATATAATGACACAACCAAAGGCAGAGAGATGAAATCAAACTCCATATACTCTACACCCATTTTAAAAAGCACATATTGTTGGTTTTAAGTCATCTGGACTATGTGGAAAATAAGAAAATTCAGTCTACAGTATATGGCAAGAAACACTGAAAACATCATGAGCTGGTGTTTAGCGAAAACTCTTCAATCCATGAACCTCTAAGAATGGATTTCCTCAGTGAAGACCATACTAACCTTGTCTGATAATTGTGATGCTGGCTTTAAATTTGTTAATTTAATCATACAACTAGAAATTTTAATTTTGATTATATGCCTCAAAACATAATGACTCCTTCTTTACATTGAAATCTGCCTCCGCTTTCTTGACTACTGACTGTCAATTGCAACCATATGTGATGCACGCTCTTTCACCCTCTAGAAGAATGTCCATCTATCAAGTGCCAAGGCAGGCCCATGATCACCACAGTTCATTCCAAGTGTGCATTTCAAAGCTGAGCTCCTTCAGTTTCCATCGGCAAATCTCAAGGCAAGAAAGGCTACATCTCATAAAGAGATGAACATTTTTTAACGTATGAATCCTGTACTTGGAGGACACAAAAGTGTTTGCCCAAAACACTAAGTGCATTTTTTTAAAAATTTACTTTAAAGACAGAAGGGATCTTCTGTTTTTTTCTTTTTTTTCACAGTTCTGAAAATTTCAGTGATCTATAAAATAATGGATAATTGCTTTTGCTTACTAGATGCCCTGTTTATCTTATCAAAGAAGCATGGCAACCATTGATATAGTACATTTTGAGTCATGAAATTAGCAATGTATAAAATATTTGATGATTTCTTTTAGCATTACCAGTAATTACCCTAAACTTTTATAATCCATTTACACTAAGATTTGAGACAGGACTGCCCTGAGAATGATTGAGTCTGAATATATTTTCAAACTTTAAAGTTTCACCATTCTTGAGCAGAAACCAGCACACACAGCTTTATTAAATGATTTGACAGCTTCTTTTTTTCTTTTTTCCAGTGAGATTCTTAATCAGAGTGGCTTTGGAGACTGTGTTATCCTTTTGCTATCAAAAGAGCTTAAGACAAAGCTTTGATCCAGCTTTGGACAAGGCTTCTGAATCAGAGCCTCAGGTTGGGCAGATGACGGAGGTTTTCATGCTGACGTTGCCCAGGAGTTGAGGCATCTTCCTCACATTTGTAAACAGTTCATCAGTTTTGAAAAGGCTTTATTGTTAATCTTAGGGGATGTTATTCATGTGCCTTGTAGCCTGAGATGAAAGTCATAGTCAGAATTACTAGATTAGAGGTATGAGTTACAAAGAGAAGGAACAGAAGGCATGAATCGGGAAGGAACCTCAAACAGAACGCCTTGGAACATGGTTTTACCAAAATTCTATGCCTGGTCCCTTGAAAATGAGTAGAAATAACTACTCTTGACTTTATTAAAAAAAAAAAGCAAAACAAAACAAAAACCTGAACAACTACTAAACTAATCTTTTGCTATATGTTGATTTCTTTTTTAAAAAAATATTTATTTTTATTTATTTTTGAGATTGGGCCTTATTATGTTGGCCAGGCTCGTCTTAAACTTCTGGCCTCAAGTGCCTCTCCTGCCTCAGACTCCCAAAGTGCAGGGATTACAGGCTTGAGCCACTGTGCCCAGCCATATGTGTTGGTTTCTAACTAAAAAAAAATTAAATGTTTCAGGTGATGGGTCAACAGACCTTCTCCCTGTTTACAATGTAATGCCTCAAATGGGAAAAGAAAACCAGCTCCTTCTTATGCATCACTGATTCACTTCTGAAAAATATTTTACTAATCAACAAACTATTTAAAATCTCAGAATAAGATACTCATTTCCAATTTGGGTTCTTTGGATGAAAAGTAAAATTGTTTTTATCTACCTACCATCTACCCATCTCATATATTATATGTGCCTTTATTATTATTATTATTTTTTAGCACAGTAGTGAATAGTTCATAACATTTTCTGACTGGTACCTTCTAGTTGGTGACCTGCAGTTTAAAAGATGGGTGGATTGGCCGGGTGTGGTGGCTCATGCCGATAGTTCTAGCACTTTGGGAGGTCGAAGCGGGCAGATCATCAGATCAGGGATTCCAGACCAGCCTGACCAACATGGTGAAACCCTGTCTCTACTAAAAATTCAAAAGTTAGCTGGGCGTGGTGGCTCGTGCTTGTAGTCCCAGCTACTCAGGAGGCTGAGGCTGGAGAATTGCTTGAACCCGGGAGGCGGAGGTTGCAGTGAGCCAAAATCTGGCCACTGCTCTCCAGCCTGGGTGACAGAGTGATACTCTGCCTCAAAAAAAAAAAAAAAAAAAAAAAAAAAAAAAAAAAAAGGTGGGTTTTAAGAATATCTCAAAATGTAGGAAAAAAGGAAATAATGTAGGAAGCTAGCCATTTTTATGTCCAGGTTGTCCAAATATTAAAAAGGAAATAATTTAAAATGATGACAACAACAACAACAGTAACAAGATAAAGTGCTTTCAGCCTGTAATGACTGATGCTAAGGAACAAGTGATTATATCCAGGATTACTCAACAGAACACCCCATCACACCCCACTGCAGTATGATAGCATAACAGCGAGAACCTACGCAGTAAATACAGCTCAGAACTTGGGCTGATGGCTTTTAAAATGCTATCTACTGCAGTCCTAGCACTGTGAGGGGCTCAGGTGGGTGGATCGCTTGAGCACAGGAGTTTGAGACTAGCTTGGGCAACATGGTGAAACCCTATCTCTAGAAAAAAATATAAAAATTAGCCAAGTGTGGTGGTGTGCACCTGTGGTCCCAGCTACTCAGAAAGCTGGGATGGAGGATTGCTTGAGCCCAGAAGGCCGAGGCTGCAGTGAGCTGTGATTACACCACTGCACTCCAGCCTAGGAGATACAATGGGACCCTGTCTCAAGAACAACAACAATAAAAAGGGCTGGGCATGATGGCTAATGCCCGTAATCCCAGCACTTTGAGAGGCCAAGATGGGCAGATCACCTGAGGCTGGGAATTCAAGACCAGCCTGACCAACATAGAGAAATCCTGTCTCTGCTAAAAATACAAAATTAGCTGGGCATGGTGGTGGATGCCTATAATCCCAGCTACTCGAGAGGCTGAGGCAGGAGAATCACTTGAACTTGGGAGGTAGAGGTTTGGATGAGTGAAACTCCATCTCAAATAATAATAAATAATAATAATGCTACATAGAATTTGTTTGCACAGAGCTTAAGAATAAACCCCTAACACAACTTTAACACAAACAATAGCTACCTCATAAATATGTTCCACCAATGGTCCAACCTCCTCCTCTTTGCGGGGTTGTTCTTCTGGTTCCCAGTTGTGAATGGGCAGAACAATCTGCGGAGGGTGTGACACTCTGAAACATGAAACGTCCTGTTAATCATTGGCAGTGGCCCAGGTAAAGAATGTTTCACTAGTGGACAGTACACTAACAGCAGCAGAAGAAAGTGTCTTTCAATTCATTTAAGTAGATATTGCCTACAGGAAAAAATGTTGAAAGTGATGTCCAGCAGAATGATGACAGTGTTGGTGAAGGATCTGAAACTGCTACTGTAGGCTCTCCAGCCCAGAGGGCAACTATTTTATAGCATCTCATCTTGTGGGCACTAAAGAGGAGTGGAGAGTGTTTCTGAGTTGAGATGAATAACAAAAACTATACAGATACAAATATATACATCCATCTATTTTGCTTGTGAGAACGTGTGTGTGTGTGTGTGTGTGTGTGTGTGTGTGTGTGTGTATGTGTGTATTTAACCCCTACTTTCAGCCACATCAAGAAATGGGACTCTTGGCCAGGTAATCCCAGCACTTTGGGAGGCTGAGGCGGGCAGATCATGAGGTCAGGAGTTTGAGACCAGTCTGGCCAACATGGTGAAACCCCATCTCTACTAGTAATAAAAAAATAGCCGGGCATGGTGGTGCCCACCTGTAATCTCAGCTACTTGGGAGCCTGAGGCAGGAGAATCATTTGAATCTGGGAGGCAGAGGTTGCAGTGAGCCAAGATTGTGCCATTGCACTATAGTCTGGGAGACAGGAAGAAAGTCTATCTCAAAAAAAAAAAAGAAAAGAGAAGATGACTCTTTTTTTGCAGAAAAAAAAAAAAAAAATCTAGGATGCTGTGTGTTGTGTTAAATGTCCAGCTATGAAGAAATACAGTTTCTGGTGGAAGATACCAGAGTAGAAAAGCGGCCATTAAACATTTCTCCTTCCTATATTTCTTTGGCTTCCTGGGAAAGCCAAGCCCAGAGCCAGAACAAAATAAAGTGTTATTGAGTTATGGAGTAGTCTTCCAGATATCTCAAGTGTGAGAGAGACACAGAGAGTTAAATGATGTAATCATGCAAGTAGGATATTAACTCGACATAGGATTATTTTTTCCTGCAACTTACACCTAGAAAATGAGCAATGGATAAGTGACATACAATACATGGCATTATTCCTATAAAAAGCTGATTATGAACTAAATTGTTATTTTTATAAAATCTTAAGAAGTGTACTCCTCAAAACAAACCAATGTTTTCTAGCAGTTTTTAGATAAAAGGTACCTTTAAAAGAATTCCTAGACTTTTGACTAAGAGTAACCTCAGCTGAAAACATCTCTTTTGGCAATCAGATGTCATAGTGCCCCTTTAAAGATATCCAATAATTAACATGGCCTCTGGCAACTTCAAATGTTAGCAAAGTTTATTGGGTTATATTCTGACCCTAGGGCAAGCAATTTAATTTTTATGTATCTCTCTTTCTTCATCTGGAAAATTATGATAAACTCTTTGGTTTGTGTACCACAAATGATTGGAAAACATCTCAAATGCTTTTTGGTCAAAGTGAATTTGGCTGCATTGTTTTCTAGGAATGAACACATTTAAAAAACAGACAACCGACAGAAATGTTGCCAAATTGCGTAACTCTTCATATATATCCTTACTGTGCAACTGTTAAATAAGTACAGGGCATGACTTTACTGGGCTGATACCACAAGCATTTCTACCTTTTTACTGATTTCTCATTATGCTATGCTTCATTTTCTGTCTTGGTTTGATTAAATCATGACAGACTGCTTTCATCAGAGAGAAGCCCAGAGAGCCTGGATTTCTATTCCTGTCTTGACAATCTCACCACCCAAAGCTCTACTTTGCTCTCAGCTTGGCGCAACAAAGAGTTGAGTTTATGTTCAGTTCAATATCTGTTATCCATTGTAAGGTTCTAGGGAAACTTTATTTATTTATTTATTTATTTTTGAGACAGGGTCTTGCTCTGTCTCCAGGCTGGAGTGCAGTGGTGAGATCTCGGCTCACTGCAACCTCTGCCTCCTGGGTTCAAGTGATTCTCCTGCTTCAGCCTCCTGAGTATCTGGGACTACAGGTGCACATCACCACACCCACTAATTTTTATATTTTTAATAGAGATGAGATTTCACCATGTTGGCCAGGATGCTCTCAATCTCTTGACCTTGTGATCCTTCTGCCTCAGCCTCCCAAAGTACTGGAATTACAGGTGTGAGCCACTGCTCCGGGCCGAAACTTTTATTTGTATTATTATTTTTTTTCACAAAGAACAATACAGCACATAAGCTGAACACATTTAATTTGAAAATTTTTGTTTTTGTGGTCATCAATGCATAGGACTGGCCATTAAATTCCCTACAGTCATTGAATCTTATGTATTTAGACCTTGACCAGTACTATGGAGATGATATGGTCAAAACCCCTCATTTTCTACATGAAAAGAAGACTGTTGTACAGAGAAGCAGAGGGTTAGTTGCAGGTGAGATCCAGAAGTCAGATTTCTTAAATACCACCTACTGTACTTCTAATATAAAATGTACCATGGAGGAATCCTAAGCCACAGTGATATTAGTGAATACAACTTAATGAAGAAAGATATAATCTATTGAAACATCATGTCAAAATAATTTAAAAAGCATGGCTTACAAACTCAGTTATTTACCCACTGAAGACTACTTCAATCCAGGGAAACCACAGTAAAGAATGATTTTATAAAGAGCTCAACTAAATCAGTGAAACAATGTTCGTGGTTTTCAAAGTGAATTTTTTAGAAAGAAGGAAGAAATCAAGCAAGGAATACAGAATATATTGAACTAATTTGCCTAGGATGAACAGCCAGTGTGGTAATCTTATGACCCTGACTGCATAGCCCTCCATCCTAAGAAGGAAGATAGAAGGTTATCGCATTGAGACCCCCAGATCAGAAGACTGGGGAACTACTAATGGTAACAACAATCATGATAAGTGAATTTTGGGAGAAACAACAAATTAGTTGTTGTTGTTTTTTTAATCCTTATTTTGAGATAATTGTAGATTCATATGTAGTTGTAAGAAATAATATGAAGAGATTCCATGTACCATTTAGCAGTTCACCCAATGGTAACAGCTTGCAAAACCAAAATGTGATGTTGTATATAATATCACAACCAAAATATTAATACTGACATAGTAAAGAAAACTTCTTATACCATGAAGATCCCCTTTTATAGGAACATCCAATTCCCTGTGTCCCTATCTTCTCCATATCTCTTGGCAACCACTAATCTGTTCCTCATTAATATAATTCTGCCATTTCAAGAATGTTATATAATTGGAATCATACAGGATGCAATCTTTTGGGATTGGCTTTTTTGACTCTGCATAGGCCTCTGAAGGTCCATCTGTCTGTCAGTTGTTCATTACTGTTTATTGTTGCGTGATACTCTATTGGATGGATGTACCACAATTCGTTTAACTGCCAACCCATCAAAGGACATTTGGGCTGTTTGCAGTTTTTGGCCACTATTAACAAAGCTGTTATGGAGATTTATGTATGGATTCTTGCATGAACCTAAGTTTTCATTTCTCTAAAATAAAGGAATTAGGTTTTCAGTAATTTGAAGTTTATACACAATCAGGAAATTCAAATCTGAGGATTTAGTAGTATGTTGTGAATCCTACTTCAAATCCTTGTTTTCAAACCCTATCATTCCCAAACCACAAAGCCTGCCATGTATTGTATGGACCAGTATTGACTCTACCTGCTGTGGACAGTATCCTAAGCAGACCTTGGCTGTTCATGTTTGTGATCTCTCTTAGTACATACCTACTCAATCCTGATTATTTTACAAAGTCTGCAATCTTATTACTCTTCATAAGCTCAGTATATGTGGTGCTGTTTCTTATGGCCAGGTTTACTTCTCATAGACATGTGCTTAACTGATCCTCTGTACCACAAAATGCATGCAAATCTGCTCAAAGATGATGTTATCTAGCTTTGAAAGAAATGGAACAATTATCAGTATTTTTACCCACTCAAATATTTTAAAAAATCTGTTTTATTTTTTAATTATAAAAAAAACAGTAGATAAAAACTGCTTAAAATAATGCATAATAAATTACATCAGAATAAACACCATCGACCAAAAAAAAAAAAAGAAAAAGAAATTTCCGGGAGACTCAACATGGAAGATTTTCAACACAGTAGCTGTTTGTTCTTTGAAGTACTAAACATTGAAACCAATGTTTTGCTGCATATTTGCAGGAAAGAGTTTTACTATGTAAATGGCTAAAAAGAATTTTAACACAGTCTTAGAGAATAAACTGTGGTCAATTGTTGGACATTGATCTAGCTATTAAAGTAACTACATTCATATGAGAAACTCAATTTTAATAATCTGTTTTGATTATTGGCAAAAGTGAATAGAAATTTTCTTCTTTTTAAACTGCAAGTAATAACAGTAATATTGAAAATATTAATCTCATAAAATGGATATTGAGAATAAAGACAGTTATATTCAGCTATTAGCTGTCTTGGATTTAGTTATGGCCTAACAAATAGAAACATTTCCTAATCTTAAATTTATTTTGGAATTAAGAAACAGTTTCAACTTATTTTTGGCTAGAAAAACTTGATACACTAAGCTTAAAGAAGGAGACAAAAGTTAATATACATTAATTGTAAAGTTTGAGAAGATATAAAAATAAGATAGTAAAAAATAATGTTTGTGTTTTTTTCTCTGATTTTTAAAAATGACATTTTTCTCATCAAGAAAGATACAACAATGAAATTCGAAGTCAACAAAAATAAAACATCTAGATTAGCCCCAAATATCTGTAAATCAAATAAGTCACTTCCCATGAATCCACTCATGACTAAGGAAGAATCACAAAGAAAACTAGAAAATATTTTCAGCTGAGTTATGATGAAAACCCAACATATCAACATTTTGGTATGCTGCTAAATTTATAGCACTAAATACTTATATACAAAAAACTTTCCAATCAATCATACAATTTGCAGAGAGGAACTAGAAATGGGAGAGAAATCAAATCCAAAGAAAGCACAAGAAAGGATAACAAGAATAGCTGAAACCAATAAAATACAAAAAAAAATTTAAAGAAAACAAAAATTTTTAATTAAAAACAAAAACAAAAACAAAAACAGATTTTTTGGAAAGATCACGAAACTCCAGACAGACTGATCAGAAAACATTAAAAAAAGAAGGGAAAAAAAGGAGAAGATATAAACTACCAAAGTGAAGAATGATGGAGAAGGCATCACTAGAAATCCTACAGCTATTAAAAGGACAATCAGAAAACATGAGCAACTTTATCCCAATACATGTAACAACTTAGATGAAACAGATAAATTCCTTTAATAAGAAACTACCAGAGCCCATTCAAATAGAAATAGATATTATAAATAGCCTTACATCTAAGAATGAAATTGAATTCTTAAAAACTGTTCTACCAAAAAATCCCCCTAAAATCCTCTAGACTCAGAAGGTTTCATTGAATTTTAGAAAATATTTAAGGAATAAACAATACCAATTCTATACAAAGTATTCCAGATAATAAAGTAGATGAAGGAATACTTCCAACTCATCTTATGGAGCTAGCATTCGCCTGATACCTAAACCAGAAAAAGATACCGCAAGAAAAGAAAACTACGGATCAGTACTTCTCACAAATATAGATGTAAAAGTCACTAACAAAATTTTAGCAAGTTGAATCCAAGAATATCTAAAAAGGATAATCATCAGGACTAAATGTGATTCTTCTCCAGAATGCAAGTTTGGTTTAAAATTAAAAAACAAAAATTAATCAGTTCACCACTTTGATGGATAAAAAAGGAAAACAATTTAACCATCTTCATATATGCAGAAAAACCATTTGGAAAAAATTTAAACATACATTCATGTTAAAAATTCTCAAGAAAAGTAGAAATAAGAGGGAACATCCTCAACTTGATAAATGGTGTCTACAAAAATCCCTCAAGTTGGCATCAAAGGTAATAGTAAAAGGCAAAATGGTTGTTCAAGACCAGCTTGTCCAACACAGTGAAACTCTCTCTACTAAAACTACAAAAATTAGCTGAGTTTGATGGCCCATGCCTGTAATCCCAGCTACTCAGGAGGCTGAGGCACAAGAATCTCTTGAACCTAGGAGGTGGAGGTTGCAGTGTGCCAAGATCTTGCCACTGCATTCCAGCCTGGGTGACAGAGTGAGACCCAGTCTCAAAATAAAATAAGTTATAGTTTTACAGTGTAACACTCAGGCAATTGACCTAAATGAATTACAGGTACATGCACCAAAATGAATCTCAAAAACATTGGTTTGAATGGAAAAAAAATCAGATATATACATAAAGTATGATTTTACGTAGATAAGGTTCAAAATACTATCTCCCAGGTAGGATAGTACGATCATTTCTGAGCATGAGCTCTGGGAGACAGTTGCCTATATTTACATTCTGGCATTTTCTAGTTTAATCTTCAACTCCTTGTTCCGCAATTTCCTTATCTGTACAAGGAGGACACTGGTTCATTTTAAGATGTGTCAACCTGGGGTAGCACCCAGAAAGAAACAGTAAATGTTAGACATTGCTATTATTCTCTAATCCGCTAGGGGGCGCCTCAGCGGCACGAGGACCTCAGGGCAGGCCCCACCGCGACTCTGGCTCTCCCTGCAGAAATCCCAGCTGTCATCACGGAAGCTTGTAAACCACCATGGAAAAGGAAGGGAACCAAGATTCTGGAACCCCAGTGACAATTTGGTCCAAAATACCAGTTGACATTTTTAGCCAAGTCCATGATTGTTCTGAAAAACCAGAATCGTAAGAAAAAAAATCAATGAAGTCCAACTTCAAGCAAGATAAGAACTACACACAAGCCATTTCTGATTTCTTTTTCCCCAAGGCATGGATTTTGCAGCTGGTAGTCATTTCCTTGACCCTCTTCCCCCTGTCTCTCAATTGATTGTTTATTGGCACCTTCCTCAAAGAATAGGACCAAAGGAAAAAGATATAAAATAGAGATTCAATCGACCCTTGCATCCAAGAGTTAGTCATTTATTAAACTCCAGATGTGGTGTGGTAGGGCTAAAATGTCATCATGCTAAAATAACTATTGGAGAATTGAGTTTTTTTTCAGGTAATCACATGGTGATCTATTTTATCTGGCTGCTTATCAACTGGTTTTTATAGTTTGATTACTGAACTGTCAATTTGGGGAATAAAGTGATTTTTTTTTTTTTAAGATGTAGTTTCACTCTTGTCATCCAGGCTGAAGTGCAATGGCATGATCTTGGTTCGCTGCAACCTCTGCCTCCTGGGTTCAGGTGATTCTCCTGCCTCAGCCTCCCGAGTAGCTAGGATTACAGGTGCCGCCACCATGCCCAGCTAAGTTTTGTATTTTAGTAGACACGGGGTTTCACCATGTTGTCCAGGCTGGTCTTGAACTCCTGACCCCTCAGGTGATCAGCCTGCCTTGGCCTCCCAAATTGCTGGGATTACAGGCGTGAGCCACTGCATCTGGCATAAAGTGATTTCTTGTTTTTATATTTTTGGAGTTATTATTTAAGGTTTACTCTACTTTCCAGTGGAAGGCTAATAATGATCAGTAGAAAAGAGTGAAAATTAACATCCAAAATGAACTGTGATCTCTAATGCATTGCAAAAATTCCACATGGCTTTCACTAGCATTTTATCTGAACCCTCCATACAGAAGGCGATTATACTATTACAGTGTGCTGCTTACTACTTACCCTCTTATTTCCACCTGCGCCACAGCAGTGATGTTGATTTGTAGGCTCACGGAATTGCTGTCTGGATTGTCCTTGTTGGAACTAAAACACAGGGACATGTGATTTAAATATATTTGCTCAGGTATATTATTACAATAAATGGTCATAAGAAACATTCTGTATATCACAGGAGTAACACACATCACTAACCTGATCATTGAGAAAACAAATGTATTCATTCTCCAAAATCATAACCATTTGTAGAGAGAAATGCTAAGATCTTTTATGATCAACAGTCATGTGACAACTTTCCATGAAGAGACACTTTCATGGAAAGTGTCTGGAAATACAATAGATATCTAGAGAAACTAACACTTTTAAATGGATGAACGAAAAAGGCACTGAACTGAGTTCATTTTTGCAGCTTCTACTTTGGACAAATTCCTTACATCTCTGTGCATATCATGTTCATTGCCCATCAAATAGGAAGCGACAGCTTAGCCAACTCCTGATTTTCCTTGCTAATAAAGAGGAGAACTGGCATGAATAACGCAGAGAAACACGTAATCGAAACAGCATTTGTATGTGGCTCTGGGATGCATCATACCATACATTGGCTTGGCAGCAATTTCATCTTCCTTATGGTTTATTTCTTAAGTTAGTATTAAAATAAGCGTGCATTCACTGCATACTCACCAGCCGACTAGGACAAGGAGTTGGAGGATATTTTAAAAGACTGGTTTAAATAACACACTTTTCATTATCCACAATACCCTGAACATATAAATAGACCCAAGGAAGTTGGACAGTTCATAAACAGCCAATTAGGTGATGACGTGGATATTTGCAAAACGCATCAAGAATCTCTAGAAAGTATGTGTTTAACAGTACTTCTTTGAACAGTGGCAAAATTATGTTTTGTTTGCTGGGCTTTTTTTTTTCCCCAGCAAATATAATTAGATATGAAACTACTTTTAAAAATGCATGTGTTTCAAAATGTATGTGCTGTAAGGAAAATAAAACATACTTCACCAAGAGGCTCAACCAGTAACTGAGTTTTAGAGGCAGCTTCCATCTGCATTTTATAGTTCTATTATGCTTTCATTGAAGCCACTAAAAACTTAGCAAACTTGAGACATGGCCACATCACCACTAACAGGTCATGTTTATATTCAGGTGTCATTAGGAAGAGAAGATCTTCTCTTTTTTCATGATCAAATCTCACCCAGATTCGATGGGCAAGCTCTAGTACCAAGAGGATGGTAATAGTATAGGTTCTGACCAGCTTTGGAAGCTTTCCAAATGCAAGAGCTGGAAAAGATATGATAAAACTGCTTTCAAAGCAGGAGGAGGCAGAATTGTTCCCATGATGCTTTTGAAAAGTCCTGGCTGATTGTATATACTGATAAGACAACTTAAACTGCAACCACACATAAAAAATATAAACAGGCGAATGTCAGGCTCATTTCCTGGAACGGAGCATCACCGCTAAGCCTGTGACTGAGCTGAAGGGACTTGTTCACCAGAGGCTGAACGCCATTTTATTAAGATCACATCTGCGGAGGATCATTCAACTAAAAGACGTGTGTATGTGTGTTTTTAAGGCAGTATTCTGAATTCTAACCACTAAGAAGTAATTCAGTAATTGTGTTTGTTGTAGACTTTATGGTTCCAAATACATTATGAGTCATTCTTTAGTTTGGAAATGTAAATATACTTGTGCCACAGATGAACTGGACATTTTTCTATTTCTATTTCTATTTCTTCACTTCTTTGCAGCCATGGAAATTACAGTTATGAAAAAGCAAAGTTTCTTAAGTTACTGCATAATTCTATTGTATTTTGTTCCCAAGTGGTTTAAATAACATACTTTACCCACAATACCCTAAATATGTAAATAGACATGGAACATTGAAAGCATCCTTGAACACAAGTCTAACATGAGGCTTTTTGAGGCTGTTTTGAAACGCAGCAAGAACAACAGCCGATGCTGAATCCAGATCTTCTGGTCGGCTAATCATCTTCTATCACATAGACTTGCCCTGACACTTGCTACTGCCTACCAGTGGTGTCAGCAAAATCTCCTGCTAAGAAGGGAACCAGGCTTGATAAATAACTTAGATGCCACCTTGACCCCTTTCCTGAAAGGAAAGCTCCCTCACTAATACCACTGCAACATCCAAACAAGTCATCCATCACTGCCAGGGAAGCTGAACTATCTAAACTGTTGGTGCTGGTTCTATACAAGAAATGATGAATTTCCTCTTTACAACTGCACCCTATACTACATACTATGGATAGACATGTTTTTCACTTTATTACTGCGCAGCTATGTTCTTTTTCCTTGCTATCTCCTATTCCTATTTTCTAATTCCCTCTGTGCCTTCTGAGATCTTCGGAATGTCAGCAAAAATAACACAGTGTTCGTCTCAGCATTACTAAGGAAGCAACTCTCAGGATGGTCACAAAGACCTGTTTGTATGTGGCAACTGCAATCTGAGACACATTGTACACAAAGAGGAAAATGTTTACATCATGTAGAACGGGGGCATGGAGAGAACGCTTAAGGCAAATATTTGGTAACAGGAAATATTTTAAGTTTATTAACATATAAAGCCCATTTCTTTTTTGACTTCTATTTGTGAAAAAGGGATTCATTAAATGCAGGTCATGGCAGTCGATATACGGTTTGTAAGAGTTTAGACTTTGGAACATTTGGTTTAATTTATTTTTGGTTTAAACATATTTAAACCAAATGCAAAACCATCCATCTACATCCTTATTTTCAGCTTTGGAGTCAGCCAGCAAAGCATGCAGATAAATGCTCACCTCTCAAATACGCTAATATTCGAGTACTTACAGTGTTTTGACAGTTTTTACAGTATACACTGTAAAACTCAAATACTAATATCCTTTTTTTTTTTTTTAGACAGAGTCTTGCTCTATCACCCAAGCCTGAGGTACAGTGGCACAATCTTGGCTCACTGCAACCTCTGCCTCCTGGGTTCAAGCTGTTCCCCTGCTTGAGCCTCCAGAGTAGCTAGGACTTAAGGTGCATGCCACCACAAAATGCTGGGATTATAGGCATGAGCCACTGTGCCTGGCCTCAAACACTGTATTCTTGTTTTTATATCTATAATGTATGTTTTGGTTAATGGTTTATGTATATTCCAGTTCTTTCTGCATTTCTGCATTTTTATATTTTTGAGAGTCATGTTAAAATAGCCACGAGTAGAAATGGAACGTAGTCATTCATGACCCATTGTTTTACATGAGGAGAATGTTAAAAAAGTGGCCATTACTATTTTACAGCAAATTCAGCAGTTCATTACCGAATTTGTTATTTAGAGAAGGCATCTAAAACACCACTTAGTGTTTTGGTTTTTTTTTTTTTTTGGAGACAGAGTTTCATTCTGTTGCCGGGGCTGGAGTGCAGTGGCGCTATCTTGGCTCACTGCAACCTCCGCCTCCTGGGTTCAAGCAATTCTCCTGCCTCAGCCTCCGGAGTAGCTGGGATACAGGCACCTGCCACAACACCCGACTAACTTTTTGTGTTTTTAATAGAGACGGGGTTTCACTGTGTTAGCTAGGCTGGTCTAGAACTCCTGACCTCAGGCAATCTGCCCACCTCGGCCTCCCAAAGTGCTGGGATTTCTTTTGCTTCTTAAATGAACTACTAACTGCATCCATTCTGTTTTGTAATGTCAACCAAGAGTGAGAAGGAAATATCAATGAATTTGCTTTGTACCTTTGTACCAGACTTCCTTTCTACATAAAGGTTGTGTATTTTATGAGAGATGTCTTTTCCCAGGTGACACAAACTTCATGTCACTGGAGGATCAGTGGCACAGACAATGATAGGAATACAAACTTCAGGTTACTGTCTGGAGGGATGGTGGTTCTTTGCCATGACATGGTTTTGTGTCTTTGTTTTTAAGATAGTTAGAAATATCAACAAAAGATTTCCAAAATAAAAATATTTACAACTACCTAAACCTTCAATATATTTTATAGATAGAAAGAAATGATTTAATATGCTTTTGGTAAAATGAAGGAATATTACAGAAGAATTTTCTCCATCTGTATCCTATCACTAAACTGTATCCAAATTTTAAAAGCCTAAAATTCAGCAGAAAATGTTTAAGTTAAATTCAAGAAAGACATCATTAAGCTCGGAAATGAACACCTAAGGTAAGCTAAGAAAAGCTTTCTCCCTAGAAATCTATCACAAAGTTTGGCCTGGGAGAGTGATTTGTGACACAGATTGCAGATTTTTTTAATCTGTTACATTTTTACAGAGTTTATATATTTTTTAAAAAATCCTAAATCTTTTATTGAAATATCTATTAAAAAGTAACCCATTGCACAGAGTCATTATTCTAAAAGTTATCACACTCTAATGATACTTCTTGCAAGATATTAAAATAAAATTAGAGATTAACCGTCTTGCACACTAGTATTTGAGAACCAATTGTGGATACGGACTTCACAGACATTTTAATACTTAGAGCAAGGGTTTACCATGCCAGGCAAGGTATAAATAAATACAGAAGTCCCGTATGTCCCGTTTACATCTGTGTTTTCAAACTTTTTAAACTGGAGACCACAAAAAATACATCTCACTAGACGTCTTACTATACATATTTATAATTACATGTATAGTATAAATATAAAATATTTATAACATTTCATGAACTATACTAATATATATTATACTGTATGTTATTTTCCATTCAATTTCCTTTTAATATTGGTCTAGAGACATTAAACTGATTCCATTACCCAGCTAATGGGTTGAAATCCACAGCTGGGAAGTCTTTCTGTGGGTCTTTCTGTTCATGAAATATTATCTTCAGCCACGAAGGAGCAAACAGAATAGGTGGTAAGAGGGTAAAATTACAGATGAATTATAGAACAGCGCCAGCCTTAGAAAAGACAGGTAGCTACCTATATGGCTCGGCTTATCATTGCTAGAGAAGGGTTTGCCCTCAAAATAGAGTATCTCACCTGCATCCTGCCACAGTGCTCACAGGTAAGCCATCAAAGATTCATTTAGTCTTGAAAGCTGAAGAGACTTCAGCATTGCAAATGTGAAATCTATGCTTTTTTTGCACAGATTTTGTTCTCAGGGACTAGGTGACATCCAGCTGAGATCATAGGAGTTAGGGTGGGGGAGGATCTGTGCTTTGGAATGAGGAAAAGCAGGAGTAAAGCAGGTGGGCAGATGCCCAGGCACAAAATTTTGCTATCTCATAACTTCAGTCTCTTTTTCAAAACCCTAAAATGTTGAAATAACAGAAACTATGGAGAAAAATAAAGAAGAAATGAGCTGTGAAAGTCTGGGTGCTAATTTCAGAAGAGCTTAAAGGTGAATGACCCTGACAAGCGGCATCATCTCACTGTGGACCTCTTTTCTGCTGAATGCTGTCAATAATGTCGGCATGTAAAGGTCTAACCTTCTGATTTGGAGATCGAAGTTAATGCTCATGTTTGTTTTCTCAAGACGTGGAACTGCAAATCGGAGGCCCAGAGAATACTAAAAAATAAAATAAAATCACACAGGACACAAAGTTATTACATGAGAGTAGCTTGTACACAACAAAAAAATATTTAGTAAGTCATTCCTGCAAAACGCCGCCCTGGATCACCGTAACTCTCCTTTATTCTGCCTCTACCCCAGGTGGCTGAGAGCTGAGAGAAGTCATGCAAAGAACTGCAGGGCCCAGAAGATTCAGGTCACGGTACAGGTTGGTTCTCTCTCTCCGTTTAGTCTGTACTGCCTTTTCTCCTGCCACCTTTTTGTGTGTTAAATTGAAAACAATCCAAAGCTGTGAGAAGAAACTGGTTGACTGATTGATTGATTGATGAGACAGGGTCTCACTCTGTCACCCAGGCTGGAGTGCAGTAATGTGAGCATGGCTCACTGCAGCCTCAACTTCCCATGCTCAAATGATCCTCCTTCCTTAGCCTCTCAAGTAGCTGGGACCAGAGTTACATACCACCACGCCTGGTTAACTTTTTTGTTATTTGTAGAGACAGAGTCTAGTCTGCTCTTGAACCCCTGCTTACATGCAATTCTCCTGCCTTGGCCTCCCAAAGTGCTGGGATTACAAGTGTGAACCACCACATCTGGCCAGAAATTGACTTAGAAAACTATGATGCTTTTATTTGATGGACATTTATACAGTCATTGAAATTATAGCTGTGAAGTCAATGCAACAATATGGAAAATGCTTCTAATGTAGTAACAATCAACAATGAATGGGGACTCAATGTTATGTGCAATGCGTCTCAGCTATGGGTTTAAAAGTCTACAAATTGAAAAATTAATCTACAGTACAGGAGTGCAGAGGTACTACAGGAAAATGTTTCAGAATAATATTTTCTCTTATTTTTCTAAATTTTAAAAATTTTTTATAACCTAGAAATAGATAAAAACATGGAGAAAATAAATTGAGTGATGATATAAATAAGGAAGTTAAAATAATAATTAACACATCTGTAATATTATGTTACTTTCTTTTCCAAGCACTGTACTATGCCTTCCACACATGATCTCATGTAGTCCCAAAAAGCACTCTGAGGTAGGGGCTGTTATTGATGACATTACACAATTGAGCAGCAACCCGAGGATTAGAGAGATGAAGTACCTTGCTCCAGATGGAGTGCAAATAAACCACAGAGCTACAACTGAAATCCCTGCAAGCTGACTTTCAAATCTGTTATTACAGCCACTACAGTAGCAGAATCAAACCATTAACAAAACCTCATATTAATAGGAATCAGTAACAATATGAACTAATAATCAATCATCTCTTTTGTCATAAATCAGCAGCAGCAGTTCACCAGCCCTACTGAATGTGCTTCGAGCCATGTACCGTCCTAGCAGCTTTACGTTTGTCCTGTCATTCATTACTCCAAACAGTCCCACAGGTAGGTGTTTTCCCATTTCAATGTAAGTTGCTCAAAGTATCATAGCTGATAAAAGGTATAGCTAGTATTTAAACTCAGATGTGTCTTAATTATAAGCCATTCTGCAAGGATAATTTTTTTTTTTTTGGAACAGAGTCTTGCTCTGTTACCCAGGCTGGAGTGCAGTGGCACGATCTCAGCTCACTGCAACCTCCGCCTCCCAGGTTCAAGCAATTCTCCTGCCTCAGCCTCCTGATTAGCTGGAATACAGGAATGCGCCACCACGCCCAGCTACTTTTTGTATTTTTAGTAGAAATGGGGTTTCACCATGTTGATCAGGCTGGTCTCCTACTCCTGACAGCCGTGGCCTCCCAAAGTGCTGGGATTACAGGTGTGAGCCACAGTGTCTGGCTGGATGAAATGTTTAATGATTTCAAAGGAGCAATTTTCTATCAGGCACCTGCACATGCTCTTCTCTTTTCTTTAGAAGCCTTTTGGCTTTTTCTTGCCTTTTCTACTTGAAGAACTTCTAACTCATGCCTCAAAGCTCAGGACAGGAGACATCTCCTGCAATACCTCCTATAATTCTATGGGCTGGGACAGGCAGAATTGTTCTCATTTGTATTCTCTGTATGTTTTTCACCATTCTTCCACCACTCAACTTAGGACACTGCTAATTTTGAGTTTCTTATTGAATGAAGATGGTATGTTTTTATCTTTATATTGCTACTCTAACTTGGAACCTAGCATATAGAAGCAGTGCAATAAAAATTGCCAAAAGAATGATTAGAGTGGCCAGGCACGGTGGCTCACACCTGTAATCTCAGCACTTTGGGAGGCTGAGGTGGGTGGATCACAAGGTCAGGAGATCGAGACCATCCTGGCCAACATGGTAAAACCCCATCTCTACTAAAACTACAAAAAATTAGCTGGATGTGGCGGCACATTCCTGTAATCCCAGCAGCCTGGGAGGCCGAGGCAGGAGAATTGCTGGAACCTGGGAGGCAGAGGTTGCAGTGAGCCGAGATCACACCACAGCACTCCAGCCTGGCGACAGAGTTAGTTGAGGGTGTGTTCTTGTTTGCTCATTTCCAGTGATAGAAATCTTACTGTATTGCAATAGAGGCTACCTAATGTTGGTTTTCCTTATAGAACAATCAGCATGGGATGATGAAGACCCAGTGAAGGAGTGACAGTTTCATACTGGTAAGAGGCGCATCTGTCCTTAACTAGTACCAGACACCAGATCTCATGGCATTGATTTTAAAGTGCTTTCATTGACCCCACCATTTTTTTAAAAAAAATCTTCCCATGAGAACATTTGCAACCTGTTATGAATCTTATTGGCATATAAACATCTTATATTACTATAGCTACTCTATGAAAATGACTTTACTACTTAAAAATCAGAAGTAAAGCTTCTGAAGACTACTTTGAATATTTTGTTAAGTTAAAATACAAAGTCACTTGAAAATGATTTTTAAAAGATATTAGATGGAACTAAACATTCCTAGCAATTTATGATGCTTTTAAAACCTTCAGCACTGCTTTTACATTTGGAATTTTACCACAACCCACTGAGAGTATTCTTTTTAAAGTATAAAATGAAGAAGAAAATAAATCAAAGTGTTTTATAACAAAACAGAATGCAATAAAATTTGATGTGTTTAAGGGCATTAAAGAATGAGATAAGAAAGCTATTAGGTTTCTTCTACTATGGCCCTCAGAGATAAATGAATATAAACAATTTACTTCCCTGACTTCTAAGGATTATTTGCTGTTAAATGAATTGGCATCCTTTCACATAAACACATTTGTGGTTAAGACCACACTGCGATTCTCCCTCTACTCTTAAGGATACTGGTGGCCAGTTTTGTTCCAAGATTACCGTTAGATGGCCTCTGGGTAACACTTCTAATATTGAAAAAGGAATGAATGACCAGTCACCTACAGATGCTAACACTATTCTACCACATCCATTCATTTCTCTTTTGCCTTAGGTAACTCTCTTCATATTAAATTAGGCGGTTGGATTTTTCTCAAAAACTAGCAAAACGATTCATTAGCTTCTAGATAAAAGGACTATTATAGTGAAAAATGTTCTAATATCCAAGTGTAGACATCCCATGCTCTTTTTCATGGCTTCATTTTCAGGTCTCATCTGTTATTCATTAGTTTTTATCCAAGGACTTTTCACCATGTTGCAGACCAGTTAGAACATAGGCTTTGCGGTAAGGCTTGGTTTGAATCTTGGTTCTAACCTTTACCCTCTGTGAGGCTTTGCCCAATGATTTGACTTCTCTGAGCTTCAGTTTTCTCATCCATAATAAAAAGAAAATACTTGACACACAGGGTTGTTTTGCAAATTCAATAAAATAACATAAAAAAGCTCCCCTCCTCCCAGTGATGAATTTATAACCTAGAGGACAATCAATCCATGGTAACTAACAAAAAAATCTGTTATAGGAATGTACTTGTCATTTAAATATTTATTTTTGCCCCAAGAAGTAAGTTAACTATAGTTTCAGCATATTTTTGAATACCCAAGATCAATGCAACATTAGAGCATAAAAAAGCAAAAATATCATTCTAGCACAATAGTCTAACTTGAGAAAAGTTTCAAATGCTCAAGTAAATGTATGAAACATCAGGCTAAAAGGTTTATTAACTGAAAGACTTATCAGCATCTTTACAAGGCAAATACATACCTGAATCTCCCAAGGAAGAACAGGATGTTCAACAGTAACCATATAACTCCCTTTTAAAGGCTGCTCTCAAGGGACTAGCACTCTTTGGAATACACTTTGGGAGGTTGTTTTAATACAAACCTACATAATTACAATTTTCCGTGAAGTTTCTTTGAAACAGGCTATTTCATTAGTAATAATAAACATCTAATTTTGAACAGAAGAATATGTATGTTCAATTTATGTTTTTAGTACTTTCAGAGTTCAGAATTTTTTTTCTGATTTTACTTCATAAAATAATTGCTACTGTAATATCTATTACAAGTTACCATGTGTATACTTAACTGTAATTGGATACAATCAATTTATTGTCTGAAAGTAATCCTGAATGAAAAGTTCCTAAACCTGGAAACAAGGAGGAGGAGGGGGAGGGGGAGGAGGAGGGGAAAGGGGAGGGGGAGGGGGGAGGGGGAGGGGAGGGGAGGAGGATGAGGAGGGGGAGGAGGGGGAGGAGGGGGAGGGGGAGGAGGAACTATTTTTTCTCATGCACGTTGGAGATCATTATTAATCTTTAATTTTTCGGAGGAGGAGGAGGAGAAAGAACTATTTTTTCTCATGCACGTTGGAGATCATTATTTATCTTTAATTTTTCCCCTTGCTAGAAAACTACATTTTTCTTTATTATTCTTCAAGTAAAATAATAGAGAATATAGACTTGGTGAAGCTGATTCAAAAATTGGATTATGACAGTATTTTAATTTCAAAATACTGTGAATGATATTCATACAGGAGGTATATTTGAAATGAAAGTTAATTTAATTGCCACCACTAAAATCTTTGGTTTAATTTAGTTATTTTTAAAGTCTTTTATTTACATTGCATTTCTTTTTGAGTTCAAAGAGAAATATTTAAAGAAATATCTGTGGTGAAAACAAAGTCTGCTTAGATTTGTTGCAACTAACAGACACCCAAAAGTAATGTCTAAAGAGGAAGCATAGAAGAGCATGCATTTTTCTGTGCTTAGCCTGAGACGATTCACTCTGTGTAGGTTATAATGTGAAATCCCATGACTCTGGCAATTTCCTGCCTAATTTGTTGTTGCTACTAGATGCTGAGTTGCTGAGCGGTAACTGGAGAGCTTTCCATTTGTTCCTTGTAAAATCCAGTTAGAAGGAAATCAGTCCATATTTCTGGTTTTCTCTTACATTTGTTCCAGACGCCATAGGGTTCCCAAGGTCACACACCACCATCCTGGTTACATTTTCCATCTTGTACTCACAGCTCAGTGGTCGAAATCCCTATGGTGGGAAAGAACAGGGGGTTTAGGGGGCAGAATAAATGACATCCTGACACAAAAGCAATGCTTGGGGCCTGTGAGCTCCCCAGCATCTCAAATACCCATGAGGGCGACGGTGCACAAGAAGTGATTGATGACCCCTAACTCAGAAGAGAAAGTGGAGAGAGAAAAGTAATGTATTGAGTGGGTAAGCTTATTTATTGTGTTTCATTAAGGAAGACAATGCATAATATAGTATTTATATAAATAGTTTAGACATTAGCTTCACTAGTGTTAATGCGAAGCTCAGGGCATGAAAATCACAAATCATTAAACATGAGTAAATAAACGGATTCTTACGTAAGCCTTGCAAAAACAAAATGGCCATAATATGTATAGATTATCATAAGATTCAATGACCATTAGCCAGAGAACGGCCTGGAACACAATTTCCGTACACCACGGTCCCTTTCTGAGATCACGCAATCGACTTTGTTCAGTCCTTCAATATTTCAGATGTAAACAGAACACTTCTGTGATTAGCTGTACTTCATATTTCCTTTCCTTCCCTATATCCTATTCTAAGTAGAGTTCATATGAACTGAAGTTTGAAGAGGTTCTTGGAGCTATACACTGGAGAAATTCTCAAGGTTGAGCAGATGAGAGAGGAAACAGAGGTTTGTTTTGGAACTGTTGCCTTTGGTTCCCAGCTCCTCTTTATTTCCACATGCTATTCCCAGCGCTGAGAAACTCACCCTCGACTCTCTACCCTATTCTCTTTCCATACCTCAAACCCTATGGTACCATTCTGCATTTGGCCGTAGCTACTTAATGCTTTTCCATTATTTCACTCTAACTTGTTATGTGCCACCGATATATTACCCGTCACCCATGTTCCCAAAGATAAGCTTGCAATATGTGGGCTTTCATAAAGGAGCAAATTTGCGGGGAATTTCTGTCCCAGTGATAGGTTCAGAAGAGGGTTCCCAACATAATGACCATTTGTCCATCTGTTAGCTCTATTGAAATTTTATTTTTTGGCCCTTTTTTGTTATCTATTGAAATTTTAAATAAGAAAGTAATGTAAAGTTTCAGAAATGATCCTCCATTCCCTTCTATTTTATTAATGAAAGCTAAAAGCCAAAACTCAAGCAGAAAACACCAAACATTTCCCCAGACATCTAGCAAAAGCATTTTGTAGGTAAATCACACACTTTGAGAATATAAGCTTCAAGAAGGCAGAGGTTTTTGAGTCTGTTCTAGTCCCAATGCCTAGAGCAGTCCTGGATACAAAGTAATTGATGGTTCAGGGACAACAGAGTAGACAGCTGACACTTTCTCCTAAAAGAAAAGGCTACAATGAAAGACAAGCATGCAGCTAAGTCTAAAATCCTGCTCCCAGAATCATCCAGACAGACAGACACATGGAGAGATCTGTCGTAATTACTGAGAAAGGAATGGATCACTGATATTTGGAGGCACAATTTAATACATTCTCTCTCCAAATATCCTGAAGGACAGTTACTTATGTTGAATGAGCTAAGACACATCTTTTCAAAAAGGTGGTAATAGTCTTTCTTCTCAAAGATAGGTTAGCATGTATTCAGCTTCTTAAGGATCCATAACAAACCCCTAATCATACAGAGATGCTTTGTCTTGGGATTATTAACTCAATCATGAAAACAGAAAAAAAAAAAAAAAAAAACACACACACGGAAAAAGCTTTCATAAGTGCTCATATGTCCCTTGAATGTAATTCCAGAATTTAGTTTCTATAGTAAATATATATTTAAAAATCTCACCTAAAGGTTAAAAGTTACATATGCATTCTTTTCCCTAGCTTTCTGGAAATAGTTCGTTGACATCAGTCAAAGAGCTTTTTCTCCCTTTCACATCCCCTCCACCCTTTTTCTTTTTTTAAAGCATTATTTCCTCTCTTTAATAAGAGGAACAATGACCGTTTTTCAGGACATTTCTAGATTATTTTCCTCTGCAGTTCCAGGGACATTCTTGTTCTAATCCATTTATAGCTGTTAGAGTGGTCTTCATTCACTGAAAATATTAACTGTACCCACTATTCACCAGGCCTGACAAATGAGATGCCTTGTCTTCACTGAATTCTTAATTATTTTAACAACTGTAACAAGTAATTCTAAGCAATTGTAAAGCTTAGAATTGCTTTATACAATTGCAGTGGAGTTGAGTAAATTTTGTGATAGGATAAATAAATAGTGACAAAGGAGGACCGCACATACATCCAGGCAATCAGAGAAGGCATCCTGAAGGAAGTGGCGTCTAAGCTGATGGGGACAGTGCATATCAGTTGTTAAGAAAAGGGGCCCAGCTGGCCATTGTAGCTCACATCTGTAATCCCAGCACTTTGAGAGGCTGAGGCAGGCAGATCACCTGAGATCAGGGGTTTGAGACCAGCCTGGCCAACATGGTGAAACCTTGTCTCTACTAAAAATACAAAAATTACCTGGGTGTTGTGGCAGGCACCTGTAGTCCCAGCTACTAGGGAGGCTAAGGCAGGAGAATTGCTTGAACCCAGGAGACAGAGGTCGTAGTGACCCGAGATCTTGCCACTGCACTCCAGCTTGGGTGACAGAACGAGATACCATCTCAAACAAAACAAAACAAAATCAGGGAGGCTGGGCGTGGTGGCTCATGCCTGTTATTCCAGCACTTTGGGAGGTCAGGGTGGGCGGATCTTGAGGTCAGGAGCTCGAGACCAGCCCGGCCAACATGGTGAAATCCCGTCTCTACTAAAAATACAAAAATTAGCCAGGCATGCTGGCGAGCACCTGTAATCCCAGCTATTCGGGAGGCTAAGGCAGGAGTATTCCTTGAATTCGGGAGGCAGAGGTTGCAGTGACCTGAGATTGTACCACTGCACTGCAGCCTGAGTGACAGTGATACACTGTCTCAAAAATAAAAAAAAAACCAAATCCTGGACCTAACGGTTGATGCTTGAACTTGCTTCTGCTACATAATAGCTGTATAACCTTGGGCATGTTACTTAATTTATTCTTATCTATAAAACAGGGATAATGAGAGCAGCTTGTCTATAACACAGTTATAAGAATTAAAATACATTCAGGAACTCAGAGAATTACCCAGCTCATAGCAGTTGTTCAATAAATGTTAGCCACCTCAATTATTATTCTCCATTCCTCACTTTTTATTGTCTCAATTATTATTTGAAGGATTAGTAGAAAGAAGTGAAAAGAAGTAAGATAGATAAAGAGGATGAAGGAATAGATTTAGTGTGTTAGGAAGAGAAAGGCTGGAACAAGCTCTCTGTCATTACAGGAATGGAAAAGGAATTCAAGCTTCCTGCTGGAAGCATGAGCATTTAGCGATGAGGCTGAAGAGGTGAGCAGAGGTGATATGATCAAGGGCCTCACGGGTCATCTGAAGGATTTGGATCTTATCCTCAAAGCAATGGGGGAGCTAGCGAGGCTTTGAAGAATGTCAGGCTCAGATTTGCAATTTAGAAAGATGGATTTTTTTCTAGGTTAGAGGTAGGGGGTTGGTAAGATGAACTAGGAAGACTGCTGCAATAATCTGGGCAATGAAAGTGGCTGTTGGATGGTCTCAGTCCACAGTCTCTCTAGTTCATATCTTTCTCTCCATCCAACTGCTACTGTCACCACCCTCATCCAGGCTGGCATCATTTTAGGTGTTAGAAACCAGGGGATGCTGGCGTCATTTTTAACGCCATAGAAAATAAAAGATAAGCCATCACATAGAAAATAAAAGGTAAGCCGGATGTGGTGGCTCATGCCTGATATCCCAGAACTTTGGGAGGCTGAGGTGGGCAGATTACCAGGTGCAGATTTCAAGACAAGCCTGGTCAACATGGTGAAACTCCATCTCTACTAAAAATACTAAAATTAGTCGGGCGTGGTGTCGGGCACCTGTAATACCAGCTACTTGGGAGGCTGAGGCAGGAGAATGACTTGAACCCAGGAGGAGGAGGTTGTAGTGAGCCAAGATCATGCCGCTGCATCCAGCCTAGGCAACAGATGAGACTCTATGTCAAAAAAGGAAAAAAAAAAAAGAAAGAAAGGGAAGGGAAGAGGGGTGTGAGCGGGAAGGCCAAAAGTCTAGATGCAGACATGCAGAAGGTGAGGCAGCTGTGAGAGATTGAAGAAGAGATGAGAACAGGTCCCTAGAATCACCAAATTCACAGAGACAGAAAGTAGAATGGTGCTTACCAGGGCCTGGGGAGAGGGAGCAATGGGGGAATTATTTTTAAGGGTTGGAGAGGTTGAGTTTGGGATGATGAGAAAGGTCTGGAGATGGGCAGTGATGATAGTTGCACAACCATATAAATATAATGTCACTGAACTGTACACTTCAAAATGGCTAAAATGATCAATTATATTGTAACATGTATCTTACTACAATCATGATGATGATCATGATAATAAATATAAAACACATACACCTTTTTTGTGGAAAAATTAAGGAGCAAGGTCACCAAAAGCAAATACAAAGTCTGGCTCATCTAAGGTTTCTAGAGCAAGAGATGAGAAACATTTACATTTTCTAAAAAGATGCATGTTTTCAACAAAAGAAGAGCCAAACTTACAATCAGATAATGCCAATTTTTTTTTCCCTTGAGGAAAAAATGATTAAAAAATCTTGAACTGAGTTGAAATCAAAAGGTACACAAACCTCAAACTGTTTCAAAACAAGGAAGAAATGAGAATGTGGCTTAGTCATGCAAAATTTAAAGACTGAGGAGGTCTCTGTCCAGAGGAAATTGCTGGAGAAAGAAGTAGTGAAGGGATCATTTGAGATTACAGATAATGTCCTTTGTAATGTTTATAGCCAAAGATAGAATCATAAATGCTCTCTCTCCCGTGTTTTCTATGTAACAAAGTCAACAGTAAACTGGATGTTTTGCTAAAAGAACATTTTAGAATAGGCACTTTGTTTAGCAAAGTCAGGGGTGGAGTGGCAAGAAACTAATTGAAATAAAAATATGAGTGGAGCCCTGGAATATTACAAACAAAACATACTTGAACTTCATGCTTACGTTTGTTTATGCACTACCTGCATGTTAAGTATTTATAGGTGACATTTTTCTTTCTGATTTTGCTTGTAGAGATTTTATTCTAAAATATCTTCAAATCAAAATGGTTATTAAACACCACCTTTATAAGTTGTGTGTATAAGTGCTCCATTTATTCTTATTTACTTTTATCTTAAAGTGACTTGAATAGATAAATGAAGACGATTTTAAAAAATCACGTAATTGGCCAGGCAAGGTTGGCTCATGCCTATAATATCAGCACTTTGGGAGGCCAAGGTGGGTGGATCACTTGAGCCTGGCCACATGTTAAAGACCAGCCTGGGCCACATGGCAGAACTCCCTCTCTACAGAAAATACAAAAATTAGGCAGGCGTGGTGGTGTGCACATCTGTAGTCCTAGCTACTTGGGAGGCTGAGCTGAGGGGATTGCTTGAGCCCAGGAATCGGGAGTTGTAGTAAGCTATGATCATGCTGTTCTACTCCATGCTGGGCAACCGAGCAAGACCTTGTCTCAAAAAAAAAAAAAAAAGTCAATTCAAGAAAGAAGAAAACGAGATGATTATAAACCAGTCACTGGAGAAATTAGGTTTTATATTGTTTTCATGTTTGAAATAACAGGGAAGTGAAAGCTGGAGAGCTGTGAACACTCTTGAAAAGAAATGGAATGATTTTTCCTCTCTATCCAACCTCACTGCTGGCATGGAAGACTTAGGAAGAATTTAGGACTATTTTTAAAAAACGACTTTTTAAAGCTATGACTGACATACACAAAACAGCAGTACACATTTAATGTATACCATGTGATGACTTTGGAGGTATTTTTTCCTGCAAATTTCTTCAACAGAAACTCATAAGGATTTTAAACAACTATCAAAGATTCTCCATCATGACTCATTTTTAATTTTTTTTTTTTACTAAGATCATTCAACTAAAACAAAAAAACATGAGAATAGAAGTATGAATAGAGAATTATATATTCCATACGTTTTTAAGTGCTGTTAAAATACCAACATCACAACAACAGTTTGTTAACATCTCTTTAGAAGAATTACTTTTCATTACATTATTCAATCATTAAGACGATCAAGGTCCTCGGGGTGTGGTATTTGGAAAGTAGTACACATTTAGTACATTTTAGCTAAATGAAGAAAGTTATCAGCAAGTATTTGAGGAACACCTATGCTACACCTCATCCTATGAAGGAAACGTGACACTTGGGCTTCACCCTTAATTGTGAGTTTGTATATTTCCAATACTGAGGGACTTTCTCAGTGTAATGCAATGTATTTGTAATGGTTTTCTAGATCAAGTGATTAAGGACACTGCAGAACTGGAGGATACTTTGAATGGGAAGATTCATGTTCTGATAAGGAAGGGGAAGACTGTAAAGAACACTGTTGTCCTTTAAACAAACAGTGGCATTGAGGAATGACAAATGAGGAAGACCAGGCTCTTCCTGGTTGTATTTCTGGCAAGGGGGACCAAGCAGAAAGGAAAAGGACCTTGTTTCCCTTCCAGTGCCTGTCCAGACTGTTATCAATACTTAACAGGGATTGGTTGGACCTTCTTCCCTAACCAATAATGAAAACCAGGCTTCCTGACATGCGCTTAAAACTGAAAAGAACTCAACACAAGGGTAGAAAACCCAGCGAGGACAGGGAGTTAGCTTGGGAGGTTAGCTTATGGATCGCATTGGTAAGCTTCTTCGTTCAGCCAGTCTTTCTGCTTTAGCTCTCAATCTTTGGCCAATTTATCTTTGCACTGTGGCAAAGAAGACATTAATACTGTGTAATTCAAGCCTCAAATCACCTTTCACTTCCCTCCAGGCAGCTTTGACTTCCCTGTTATTTCTAACATGAAAATCAATATAAACCCTAATTTCTCCAGTGACTGGTTTATAATCATCCAATTTTCTTCTTTCTTGAATAACACAGTATTAATATCTTTCTTTGTGTATTCCCCGCCCCCTACTTCATGGCTCATTGTCGTTCTGATTTAACAAAAGAAGGTATCATTTTGCGACCTTTTACTAAGGAAGAAACTCTCAGCTCAGATGGCCCTTCTTAAGATTTACTTGACTTCAAGAATATACTTAGCTCTTGACTTCAAATAATTTGCGGGCATTACCTTGTTGTTGCGTTCTATCCCAACATAATCTGCCTCTTCTGGTATCATCACAAAGAGCTCAGCTTCATAGGCTCCTTCCCCTTCATTTCTTGCATTTATTATGAGCATCAGGTGATTTTCATCTCCAATGATTACCTGATGCTTATCTCTAAAAATGACGTTTAAAAAGAAGTATTAGGTACTCTACTTCTTGGCTTCATGAATATTTTATTTAAGGATTTATCGAAGAGCAAAAGAAAAATGGCAAATGCAAAATAAAGAAGACAGACCATCATGAAGAGATGGTAGGAAGTGGCAAGAGAATCATCTCTGGGTGAAAAGGGTAGGAAAACATGCAGTAGTATGTTGGTAAATGTTTAACAACCAGTTCTTTTTAAAAGAAAGTGTTGATTTATAGCATTTTCAGATTCCAGTGGTGTAAATCCATGCACTGTGGTCAACTTCAAGCTACCGACATATTTAATAATCTACCAACAAAATTCCTGCAAATTTAACATTTCACTTACAACCCAGAATGAAGCAGCTTCAGCATGTTATTGAAAACATACATTAGTAAGAAAACGGGCAATGGAATAAAACGAAGAGAGATGGTTTGGAAAGTAAGAAGGAGAGAGTAACACAAAGGAAATACTGAGAGGGAAGAAGTGGGCAGATACAATAAGATCTTAAATCACCAGTAGAGGATTTCAAGGTTTTTTTTTTTTTTTTTTTTTTTTTTTGAGACGGAGTTTCGCTCTTGTTACCCAGGCTGGAGTGCAATGGCGCGATCTTGGCTCACTGCAACCTCTGCTTCCTGGGTTCAGGCAATTCTCCTGCCTCAGCCTCCTGAGTAGCTGGGATTACAGGCACGCGCCACCATGCCCAGCTGATTTTTTGTATTTTTAGTAGAGACGGGGTTTCACCATGTTGACCAGGATGGTCTCGATCTCTTGACCTTGTGATCCACCCGCCTCGGCCTCCCAAAGTGCTGGGATTACAGGCTTGAGCCACCACGCCCAGCCTGAGGATTTCAAGGTATTTTTAAGAAACGTAGTTGACTTACAAATCAAACCATTATTTGGAAATGCCTATTCCACTTTTTCTTTTCTTTTCTTTTTTAATTTTTTAAAGCACAGAGAGACAAAGGAAGAGAGAGAAACAGCTAATTCTCACACTGAGTGAGAGAAAGAAAAGCGGTTCTCACACTGAGTGAGAAGGGTTCCCAGAGGGGGAAAACCAGAGAAGGAAAGCTCCTCTTACACTGAGTGAGAGAATCCAGAAAGATGGAATCCAGGAGAGGAAAGCAGCTTCCACACTGAGTGGAAGGGATTAGAGAGAAAGAGAGAAACAGGAGAAGAAAAGAGAAACCTTCCATGAGAGAGCATGTGGAAGCAGGACCCCAGAGGGGAAATCCAGGAGGGGAAAGAGAGCTCCCACCATGTGGGAGGGGATTCCAGAGAGCTAGAAATCTCCTATTCCACTTTTTAATCCTACTCAAAGTGATTGCATTTGAAGTTGATAAATTATGAAATTTGGGGGAAGAGCCTTTAAGAATTGACCAAGCGGATTCCAAACACTGGCAGTGAGATAGTTCCTGGGAGGGAAAGGAACACAAACCTGTTTATTGACCACAGGATGCTTTACATTCGAGTCTATGTCTTCCCGTAACAGAATGCAGTGCAATTTCCAGTACTGGAATGGGGGTGTCCACTCCCGGCAACTGTGCAGCCCTTTGATTCTTACTTGATTTTGTGACACCTTCTGCTTTACTCCAGAGAATGCTATTTAAGTTTGTTTTTTCAGTAAGTTATAATTAATTTTGTTTTGACAGTTTTAAGAATGCCTTTGAGTCATGCGGTGCTGAAAAAAAGTTTGGTGAATATGTAGATGGAACCTGCCTGTCAGAATCCTTTGTCTACTTGACTGAGGCAAGTAAATATAACCCAAGCCACCCCATCAACTTTTGTTGAGTTTATTTTCAACAAAAACATGGGTTTTTTTTTTTTTTTTTTTTTTTTTCTTTGTTTTTGCTTTTGATGAAAGATGAAATGGCCCAGGCAAAATCTTAAGGTGTGTCATTTGACACCAATGACAAATAACTGACCCAATCCACAAGCTAACCCAAAGTATAGCCAAGCTGAAGAATTTCACGCAGCATATTTTTTGGTAGTCGTTGGAAGTGTAGACTTTCTGCAGAGAACCTTTAAGTTGCTACTTGTCATTCCATTAGAATGCACATGTTTAGTTATCTAAACTTACGGTCTAGCTGACAGCTTCAAGTCAGGAACACACAGATTGTCTTCTCCACAGTCCACCAGAATGTGAGCCTGTGTTGTAGAAACATGCATCAGGAACAATCTAGGAAAACCTGAATCACATCTTTTTTCTCGAAAATTCTGAACGCTGCTACAAATGGAACCAGAGCTTTCCTCTCACTATGCATGACTCTACCCAAGCCAATGCCCTGCATTTCACTGTGACCTCCCAATATAGGCTACTTTACATGATAGCCCCATTCCAATGCGCTCTGAAATATCTGCAAAGAATGCAACTCTGGCACTGTCATGAGGATTACAGGCTGTATTGCTTCCATTATAGCCACATTTTGAACAAATTAAATCTTGGTTGCACAAGAGGAAAGGCTTCCGAAAAACACAATCATGCAGTGTTTCAGGAAACATGGTAGGAAAACTCCCAAATGTTTCATGTCTGCATCCAGAAATAAGAAGGAAAGGAGCTGGCTTTAGTCTTAAAGCCCTAAGAACAACACCCCAGAAAGCCTGCTTGAGCAAATGCCGTCAAAGTCCGCCAAGGGCTTACCTGTTCACTAACAACGTTTTCTCTATAGTAGTTAAGTATTGGTTTCACTTCCAGGCCTTCTGTAAAGGTGGATTCATCCAAACTGTAATTCAAACTAATGTTGATTGGAGATAATTTATCTCGGAATTCAGTTTCATCCTAGGAAAAATAATCACAAACTCAACAGAGGCTCCATGAAATAGCTGCAAGATGTCAGTCTGCAAAAATCAGGCAACACTGGAATTTACTCAATGAAAGTGAATGATGAAACAATTATCTTTGCAGCAGGCTTAGATGGAGGCTGATTTATGTGGCATATAGTAGCCAGCATACTCAATCTATGTGCAGTGATGAAATCATTTAGAGCTGTGGCTTCATTGAAATATGCGTCTGGAGCCAATCTTTGGGTTCTCCAGATCTTCAAGAGCTCATGCAGAATTGGTCAAGTTGCAAAGTAAAAGATTACACTCATATACCATAAATGTCACAAAAACCATCATGAATTTGGATTTTTGTTTCCATGAGGTTGCTAGGATTTGTGAGTTCTCTGGGGCTTAGAAGAAGAAAACATCTAGATTCTCTTCCTCTCATCATCTTTTAAAACTCTTGCTTGCATGAATTTCAGAATGCCTTGAGAACATTTGAAGTTCTCTTGGAAAAAGAAACAGAAATCCTTTAGCGGGGAGGGATAAGTGCCAAACAGCAAGCACTAAACACACAGTGGATGTGTCACCCTTCAATTGTGTGCCAATCAAGGGTCATATATCCAACTTTTCATTTGTGAGTATGATTGTGAACCTGTGATCTTCCCTAGGGCAGCCCTTGCTAATTTAAGTCCCCTAATGGAAAAGAGAAATTGAGAGTTATCACAACCTCACAACTGCCAAGGTGAAGATAGGTAATTGTGTTATAAACATTTTTACTTTTTAAATTTTGGTAGGTTTTGAAGTCACTGTAAAAATACATTACTTTAAAGAAGGTAAATTATAAATTACTTCTAATAAAAGCTTTGGATGCCTAAATGTTTTCCTTAGTTGGCTCTGAAATGTGCATTGATAAAATCTAAGAAGTCATACTCACATAGGAGAAAAATTCATATAAATTGTGTTCCACTTTTATGTGTTTTGGGGAGGAGGCGGGTAGAAATGAAAACCATGTGAGTTTAGAAGGCTATTATAAAGATTTTGTTCAAAATGAAAAGAAGCCTTAGAAATTAACAGCAACACATCATTAGGTTAGTTGAAGTCAGGGTCAAGAAGAGCTTATTTGACCTTAAAGTTTCCTGCTTTGAAAATGAAAACAGACGGATGGGGGTCTATGCAGACAAATATGATGGTTAAATGGAGAAGAATGGTTGGAATTTGGATATGAAGATGAGAGGCCAGAGGAGTCTTTCTGGAATACTTACTCGAAGGTAAACGATGTAATCCTGGCACTGGTGGGATTTCTGCTGTTTTATCACAAGAGGGAAGACGTGATGAGCCTGATGGTTATCAAGAAAGAGCGTCCGTTTAATGGCCCCTTTCTGTTTCAGGGAATCTAGTTGCACCTCTGCCATCAAGACTAAAGGACAGAAATAAAGTAGAGAAAAAGTATTCTGTGAACATGGTGCTCTATCCGAGAGATGAATTTTCATTTCAAGTTGCTTATTCAGGAAACGTTTATTTTTCATTTCACATTTATAGTTGAGATCAAGCATGATAAATGAGCTGGAAAAATTTTATAATATACTCTCCAAGCTAAAAATGTTTTATAATGGTTTTATAAAAGTTGTTATTTATTTTCCCTATAATTATATGTTCTTATAAATAATAGCATTACCAAGTATTGAAGTAATATTTTTGTAGAAGATTCCATATATACAACAGAAACCCTTAGTATTCATCAAGGTGTCTTTCATTTTAAATGGTCTGTGCAGAGAAAATTTTACTGTTCAACTTTCTGAGTAGAGTATAAGAATGTAAAAATGAACACATGCTTACCTATTGTGTTCGAAATGCTCTGGCCTCTGACAGATGCACATACTCTCAAAGAAAAGCTATAGAAAATAATAGTAATTTATTGGTTAATAAAGTTTTGAATTTAAAGTAGAAGTCTTCCTTTATCTCATCCCAGATAATGAATATGATTTTCTCTATATATTTCTAATTATATACACACACACATCCCTTCTACCACACACACACACACACACACACACACACACACACACACACCCCTTCTACCAATTGGTCTCAACATTAATACAGTTAAGACAAGTGACATTATTACATGGAAGGTAATATTGGAAAATAGTGCATGATATTAACTGATTTACTCAATTGCTTAATTAATCAATTAGTTCTTGCTTTTATTCAGTAATTACATGCAAGTATCATCCGTGTACCAGGGAGGGAAAAATTAGGCAGCTCGGCAAGAGGATAGCTAGAAGTAAAATCTGGAGGTAAGAATCTGGACGCACTTGAGGAAACTAAAGTAATTCAGTGTGGTTGGGGCACTGAGCAAGATGGCAAAGTTGTAGGAGGGGAGGCTGGCTTGATGAGGAACCAGGCTTTGAAAGTCATGCTAAAAAATGCAGATTTAATCCTCAGAAGCATGGAGCACCATGGTATGCTTAACTGAAAACACCCACTCTGCGTGGAAGGAGATGAACATTTGGCAGAACCTTGGTAGAGTTGGGGTAAGACTGGAGGTAGAGACACAAAGAGGGAAGGGAGAAAGAGAAAGGAAGCTAGTGTGGCTTTCTCAAGCTATGTAGGCACAACAATACAGGCATAAAGACAAAAGCCTTCACTATCAGTGTCTGCACTGGCTTATAGGATGACCACACTTGGCTTTGGTGTGTGGCCACAGATGGAACAAGAGATGGCTAACTTTGGTGAATGAATGTGCTCACTTCTTCCTGAAAAATTCCAAGCCCTAACAGCCATCACTAGAGATGCGGCCCTTTCACATTTCTAGGAAAGTGAAAATATAAGAAAACGCTTAAGTATGATTTAATGACAACCATAAACAATCATACTAGTAAAACACTATAGTATGATTTGAATATTTCTACAGAATTCAAAGGGAGTAAATAATCCCCAATCATATTTGAATTATGTGTCAGCTTCCTGTGTCAAATGTAATGAAAAAGTGTCACATCTGGGATTCATCTATCTACCGTGACCTCAGTCAATGTCTTCCTTCAGGGTAAATAATTTGCCACATACCATTAAGCCAAAAGTTTCCTGAAATGTCTATGCTATTACAAGTGTTTATTCCACTTCCCCAGAGAAATCACAGATTCCAACCCACTTCTGCTTCTATAAGAATTATTCAAGAAAGATGAATAGTTAATCACATCTTTCAGTTCTGTAGTAAGTCTGGCTTTCAAAATCAGCACTTTCTGTGTCCAACTTTTTTGGAAGTATTTGAACAAGTATGTTCAAATCGGTCAATGATCTTTTTTCTAGTCATCATTAACTGTGTAGACAAAGGTCATTAGCTTTTATAAAATAAATTCCTATTTGGAATGAAATCAACACATATACATTAAAATTATTTTGGATACAGTATTTTTTAATACAAACAATTCAAAAGCAATAAAAAAATTTTAATAAAGGAATAAAGTTCTAAGAATGAACATTTTTTCCTTATGTATATGGTTGATAAATGATGTTATCAGCTAAAAGGTTGCTTTGATTTATGAATTACACGTCAGTATTAATCTCTATTTCTTTCTTAGTTCTCCCTTTTCAGTTAATGTTATATGAATATCATTAACAACTGGATGACTTTAACTTTTTTCTTTTCTTTTTCTTTTTTTTTTTTTTTTTGAGACGGAGTTTCGCTCTTGTTACCCAGGCTGGAGTGCAATGGCACGATCTTGGCTCACCGCAACCTCCGCCTCCTGGGTTCAGGCAATTCTCCTGCCTCAGCCTCCTGAGTAGGTGGGATTACAGGCACGCGCCACCACGCCCAGCTAATTTTTTGTATTTTTAGTAGAGACGGGGTTTCACCATGTTGACCAGGATGGTCTCGATCTCTCGACCTCGTGATCCACCCGCCTCGGCCTCCCAAAGTGCTGGGATTACAGGCTTGAGCCACCGCGCCCGGCAACTTTTTTCATACTAGTTTAATATCACTGTTACAATTTACTGAATTATCAATAACAGCACTCCGACCTAAACCTGCCAGTTCATAGATTAGTGGAAAAGTATCTGTCAAGTCATAATTTTTCAAGCACTCTCTCCTGGTCTATAAAGAAAATTTCAAGACTATAGTAGTGGGTTGATGTACTCACTCTGAAGTTAGAAAAACATATATACTATATTACACATAAACACACATACATGAAGGGTCATATAGATCACAGAATTAGGGTAACTTGCAGGTCTATAGCTAATTACGAAGTATACTTGGGTCTTTAGGGAAAGCTGTAAACTTTTATTAAATTAGAATTAAAATTTCAAACTAGAAATATTAGTCATTTTCAGTATGGCCCATTAGTCTAAATAGACTGATTGGAACAAAAAACTGATGAAATCAACACAGGTCCCTTATTACATAAATTCTAAATGCATCTATTTGTGGACAGTGCTTTTGATATGGCCAGAAGGCAGGGCAATAGACTACATGATCCTCTGAGGCTAGTCCCAACCCAAGCATGGTTGAAGTGATTCTGCGATGTGACTGTGCTCATAGCTATCTATGATGATGAGAAAATGAGATAAATGTGAAACGTAATTTGAAAGTACAAATAAATTTATTTTACGTTCTCATCAGTTTTCAATCCGATTTTGGTGATAGCAAATAGCAGGTTTCACGTAGTCACTCAAATCTGACACTTTTTTTAAAATCAGGTTTGACAGGCGGGTAGTTACTGACTTTTACATTTCTAAAATTAAGCTTTCCACTAAACAGTTTTTCTTTTTATAATTGGTTAGTCACCAATTATATTAACATTTATTGAGCTGGCTTTTTTTTCTTTTACTTACTTACAAAGGCCAATAAAGATAGATACTTTCTAAAACTACATAGCTGTTTGAAAGACACAGAAATCCACATCGATGGAAGTAAAGAACTATTTGCCAAGTAGAGTTTATGTGATAGTTTTCAGATGTATGATATAAGATAATATCAAATACAGACACTAATAACAGCAGAGAAAAAAAAAGACTTTTCAATCATTTTGGAAAAACTAAGTATGTTCCTAAAATAAAGAAAAAAAATCAAAGAAACACATTCTAGACTGAACCAGCTGTTAACTTACTGTCTTCTGAGACTCTGAGGCACCATTAACAAATTTTGCATATGAAAATAAGACCTCTTCCAGAAAAATGTATGCAGTAGAAACAAGTATAATTGTAAAGGGATATACATTTATCCATATAACAAATTGGACTTTATATTAATAATATGACTAAATGCAGTAAGAAAATGGCTCATGAAAAGAAAAACATTGTCTTGTTAAACTAATATTCTTTCCATACAACCAAACAGAACTCTTAATCTGTTAAAAAACAAACAACAACAACAAAAAAAACAAAAAACTTCAACCTTATAAAAATATCCATTAAACTAAAAACCCTTAGAAACAGTTATCTAGCTCAAAACAACAACATTCTATACCAGAGTGCTTAAAGGAATTCAGCCTAGAAGTTCATTCAGTTATGGATGAACATGGGTCCATTTGGAGGAAATACTGAAGTTTTAATACTCATGAACAAGTAGCAACTCTCACAGTTCACTGACTGCTCATTTAATCACGCAGGAGTAAGGAGAGATGCTGCCTTTCTCACCTGTTTTTCAGATCAGGTTTTCATTATACTATTTTATGGTTTTAAACCATTTTAAAATGTGCCCAGGGCAATTCCAACTCTTTTCAAAAGCAGTTAAAGAAGAGGACACTCTCAGCCACACTCCCCAGCAGCCAGCAATAGGATGTTTTTCAAAGAATTCTTCAGGGTCCTCTACGTCCCCACCCTCCACCCTCAAAAGCTGTCACTCCAGTATGAACTCCTGTCAAAAGGCCATCAACAACATGTTGAAATTGGCTGGAAATAAGTTCTCTGGGTCAAGACTGGTTAGTTCTGCAATTCTGACATTCTCAGAAACCAAAAATCCTGTCTGAGTTAGACCATATCTCCTGAAAAATAAGGGTAAAACATTAAACACCCCAAGCGTCTGTTGATCTTTCAGAGGATATGCCCTGATGGTATTAACCAACACAGTCACTTCTAACCCTTGAGGACCTCATACTGGGAAACAAAGTGGTATTTTCTTGAGCCGTGTTACAGTCGAGTTCCATCTTGTGCTTCCTCCAGATGGCTAACAAAATTCAGAAGGAACACTTTCAGAAGCTATATCAGCCAGTTTCTGAAAGTCCAGACAAAGCCTTATCATCAAGGCAGAAGGAATAATTCAATCCCTATTCTTAATGACAGACACAAAAATAGAGTTTATGGCACAAAAATCTTTACTTTTAGAATGTGTTCCTTCTGTCTCGTTGTATATGCTAACTTACAAACCTGGCATCTCTTGTCAGCACAGAAAACCTAGTAAATTAACCCAGTAAATTGGGAGTCAGGGGACATTGGCTGGGCATGGTGGCTCACGCCTATAATCCCAGCACTTTGGGAGGCTGAGACAGGTGGATCACCTGAGGTCAGGAGCTTGAGACCAGCCTAACATAGTGAAACCCTGTCTGTACTAAAAATACAAAAATTAGCCAGGCATGGTGGTGGGTGCCTGTAATCCCAGCTACTTGGGAGGCTGAGACACGAGAATTGCTTGAACCTGTGAGATGGAGGTTGCAGTGAGCCAAGATTATGCCACTGCCCTCCAGCCTGGGTGACAACATGAGACTCCATCTCAAAAAAAAAAAAAAAAAGGATATTATATGTGCATATTATATATTTTATGTGAAAAGCAGTATAGCAGTATCTATAAGCATATGCCAAAATGTAAGAGTCTAGATATTTTGCTATATTTTTACCTTGGCTAGTGTTTATTTTGGTATAACAAGAATCTAAAAGTGATCTCCAAGATCTGTTTCACTGGGAATTTCTCCAAATGTTTTTATACCTCTCATATCACCTAGAGACTGTAGATTAGAGAAGTAGCCTTTGAATGATAAGCCAATAGCCAAAGAACAGCACCATATTATAGGTTCTCTTGAAAGACTAATTCCTTGCCACTCAAACTTGGGCCACAGAACAGTAGCATCAGCATCTCTTGAAGCTTTTTTCTAGAAATGCAAAATCTAGGCGTCACCCCAGACTTACTGAATCCAAACCTGTATTTTTCACAAGACACCCACATGATGCAAATTCACATTGGAGTTTGAGAAGCCCTGGACTAACTCACCAGGCTGCGGAGGTCATAGAGTCCGGAATTTGGCAAGTTTTATTTTCAAGATTGATAATCACTGGGTTCAGCAGAAGCTGGGCATCTACTGTCACAACCGGTCTTGCTCTGTAGGGAGAAAATGCAGGGTTTGTTTGAATAAACCACCTAGGTAACAGGCAGGAAGAAGCCCACTTCATGCAGACTGAACTCCCCAGTAGACAGAATACTTTCAGAGGCCATTGCCAATGTTCTCAGCATTTGTGCCAAGAATTTTGCTCACTGCATGAACAGGTAGGCACCACACTCAGCTAATTACCTCAAAACACATCTGGAAGTACACAAACACAAAGAGTGTTGTAAGTCTGTCAAGCGAAGTTGCATACACAAACCTAATTTCTTTACAAAGTGGGCCTCCAGTATTAAGGCAATATTGCTGTTAAATATTGCTCTGCCATCTGCTAGCGTTATCTATATCCATATCTGATGAAATACATCATCTTATAGCCATTTGTGTCCGTGAACACTTGAAGTTTGCAAATTTTGTTGCATCATTGATGATTTTTAAATTTCCGTTGATGGTTTTCAAGTTGAGCTTTGCAAATTTAGCTGAACACATGATGGTGGGTTTTCAGAATAATTCTGTATATCAGTCAGAGATGTGGTTCTCAATCCTGCCTGCATGATATAATCACCCAGAGAGCTTTAAAACAAATTCTATGCCCAGGCCCTGCCACGCCAACTGATCCAGAACCTATGGGGTAAGGACCAGACACTGGAATTTTAAACTCTCCTGGTGATTCTAATATGTAGCCAAATTCGAGGAGAGAGACTGATAGGGTATAAGGAAACTCAATTTCAGCCAACCAGATGAGGTTAACAAAACAAAAAAGTATGAATAAATCATGGGGGAAGGGAATGGAGCAGATTTTATAGCTTGATTCCAAGATATGACAGTTGGAAGCCAACATCCCCAAATGACAGGGAGAAATGACACCATGTTGGATAAGTTTTCCCCCTACAAGAGGAAGGGCTACGTCTTGGGGCAGAATGGGTTTACAGTACTGCCTTAAACAATAAGCAATGTACCTGCTTGGATTTCTCCTAAGTTCCTTCATGCTACTTGTCTGTATTTTGTTACATAATTTTGCTTTCAGTACTTTGTTAGTTTCATCCCTTGGAAAAACAGATGATAAAACAGAACTAGATATGCAAAAGATGTATTGGGGTCAAACATCTATGAGGAAAAGCGAGGAGAGAATGAAGGGGGCTGGGAGTTCTGATCCCTGGTAGGATCAAGGGAAGGACAGAGGACTAGAGAAGAAAGTTCTGGCCTGAGCAATGGAGAGTGCTTGAGCTAAATTTGCACGTGAGAGGAGTTCCATGTCTTGCAAAAACAGGCCTGTATTTGTGTTCTTGTTGTTCCCGCTAATTGTCTGGGAGCAGCTCATGGAAAACACAGCCTTGGCATGAAAACTCATGGAAAACATGGCCTTGGCGGAGTGGAAGCACAGCAGCTGGGCTCTGTGTCCATTCTGCTCCAGCAGCTCTGAGTGGGGCACTCCATGGCCACCGCAAACCCAAGCCTCATGCTTCAGACACCTTGAGGGTTTCAACTGATTCTCTAGAACCTTAAGCGGGACATGGTTGGTACAAATCAACCCTCTTTGAGTTTGTCTTGGAACTGATGAAGAAGAACACCTCACCTATTTGAGGAAACCTAACCTTTGAACCTCTTTGGGAGCTGAGTAGGTTAACACTATATGCCTAGTACACCCAGGTATGCCTCAGCCTTTTGTCTTGATATCCTGGCCTAGTGTCTTGAATTCTCATAATTTTTTTTTTTTCCTTGAGATGTAGTCTTGCTCTGTTGTCCAAGCTGGAATGCAGTAGTACAATCTCTGCTCACTACAACCTCCACCTCTCGGGTTCAAGTGATTCTCGTGCCTCAGCCTCTTGAGTAGTTGGGATTACAGGCATGTGCCACTATGCCTGGCTACTTTTCATATTTTTAGTAGAGATGGGTTTTTGTGGTGTTGGTCAGGCTAGCCTTAAACTCCAGACCTCAAGTGGTCCGCCTGCCTCGGCCTTCCATAGTGCTGGAATTACAAGTGTGAGGCACTGTGTCCTGCCATAAAACATTTTTTTTTTAAGTAGCTAAAGTTGAGCAACACCCCTCTCCTAGTTACTATTCTGTGTATGCCACATGCATATTCTCATTGAATCCTTTGAACAGAGGTAACCTTATAAATATTGTTATCCTTCGTATCAGTAATCTGAAACTCTGAAAGTGATAAGAACTTGCCCAAGATTACAAATCAGAGTGTATGGAATGTCCAGGCTTGGAATCCATGGCTGTTGTATTTGAATTGTTTTCAATACTTGTCTTTGGAGGCTACCTACTCCTGGAATGTTCTATTCCTTAATAAGTGTCCAGTTTGATTGTATAAGCCAGGATAAATAGTAACATTCTTCTACCCTGCACCCTTTATTTACAAGTGAACATTTCAATGCATTTCCAAAGCAAAGATAATAAATCAAATACAGTAACATCTGAAAAGTGGGTTGTTTTATAAGACCTGCTTCATTTCATATCTTATTTAACATTATGTTCATAAAATCTGGAAGTTTCGTCATGCAATATGAGAGTAAAAATGCAAAGGAAAGAAAGAGAAAGCAAACAATACCTCTAGACTTTAAAAAGAGTATCTAAATATTCACCAGAATAAATTGCTGAAACGTGCTCTTTAAGGCAAAACTAACAAGAAACTGTATTTGAAACAATGAGAAAAACATTTGAATACTACCAACCACGTACCTGTACACAGCGACTTTTCCTGTTCCAAATGCACCCACAATCAAATCTTAAAAAGACAAAAAACACAAAACACAAGCATGAATCGTATAGGAACAGTTAGTACTAAGTTCATAATCATAAGTAGCACATAGAAGAACCCTACATGCCGACTGTATGAGAGTCACAAAATTAGAAGAGGAAATCACACCTTTCTTAAGGCATTTTGGAAAAGATGTTGGAGTTTCACTATAACCAACTTGATAAAACAGTAATCAGTAGATCTCAAACCTTTCTGTGCTTAAGAAGGCCAATTTCTTTTTTCTTTTTCCTTTCCTTTTTTTTTTTTTTTTTGTAGATGGAGTCTGGCTCTGTCACCCAGGCTGGAGTGCAGTGGCATGATCTTGGCTTACTGCAACCTCCACCTCCTGGGTTCAAGGGATTCTCCTGCCTCAGCCTCCTGAGTAGCTGGGATTACAGGTGCTTGCCACTGTGCCTGGCTAATTTTTTGTATTTTTGGTAGAGATGGGGTTTCACCATTTTAGCCAGGATTGTCTCAATCTGCTGACCTAGTGATCCACCCAGTCAGCCTCCTAAAGTGCTGGGATTACAGGCATGAGCCACTGCACCTGGCCACGTTTGCTCTTTACAATTAGTATGACTGGTGAGTATACATTTCCTAACATTCACACAGGTAGGTAAGTGATGGAACTGAGTGATTGCAGTTCAGCAGTCCTAGACTAGGTTAAGAGGGAATGCTCACAATTATTTCAGTGATTGGCTAACATAGAGGTCACACTATCGACTAATCTCATTTACAATGTCTGTCCTTGGTAGAAGCAATCAAACACAATAAAACATGACAATGGCTAAATCTGCAGAGCAAAATTGCGATGCAAGAAAACTGGACCTCTATGGAAAAAACCTAAGTGTCCATCAACAGTGGATTGGATAAAGAACATGTCATACGTAAACACCACGGCATATTACGTAGCCATAAAAATGAATGAAATCACGTCCTTTGGAGCAGTGTGGATGGAACTAGATGCCATCATCCTAAGTGAACTCAGAAACAAAATCAAATATTGGATGTTCTCACTTATAAGTGGGAGCTAAAACAATGAGTACACAGAGACATAAAGATGGTAATGATAGCCACTGGGGACTCCGAAAGGGTGGAAGCAGGGAGGGTGATAAAGGTTGAAGAATTACCCACTGAGTCCAGTGTTCAATGTCTGAGTGATGAATACACTATAAACCTAAACCGCTTTATGCAATATACCCATGTAACAAACATGCACATGTACCCACTGAATCTAAAATAAATTTAAAAAGAGAAAAAGAAATCTGGACTTGGTAGAAACAAAGGCCACAGAAGAAGACTTACAACTGTTGAAACTATAATTGGTTAATTCTAGCAGAATAGGAATGAAAATAGAAAAAGAAAAAACGAAGGTAGAGGAAGGTCCTATTTGGCCACTCCATATAGAAAACAAATTCAGGAATTAAATTGGTGTAATGGAATTTGCACAGAAAAATGACTTGTAGCCGTATTCCCTTGGTGCTCACCTTTGGCATATATGATGCTGTGTGTCAACTTGACTGGATTGAAGAATGCAAAATATTGTTCATTGGTGTGTCTGTGAGGGTGTTGCCAAAGGAGATTAACATTTGAGTCAGCGGACAGGGAAAGGCAGACCCACCCTTAATGTGGTGGGCATCATTTAATCAGCTGCCAGCTCAGCCAGAATAAAAGCAGGCAGAGGAACGAGGAACAACTAGACTGGTTCAGTCTTCTGGCCTCCCTCTTTCTCCCATGCTGGATGCTTCCTGCCTTCAAACACCGAACTCCAGGTTCTTCAGCTTTGGGACTCGGACTGGCTTCCTTGCTCCTCAGCTTGCAGATGCCTATTGTGGGACCTCACCTTGTGACCGTGTGAGTCAATACTCATTAATAAACTCCCCTTTATATATACATCTATCTTATTAATTCTGTCCCTCTAGAGAACCCTGACTAACAGACTGTGCCTGTGAACAGAGACGGACTGTGATGATTCTTCCTTTGAGGGCTTAGTGTCTCTGGGAATGGCCCTTAGTCAGTTACAGTCAGGAATTAGAAAGTAAGCGGCCCAGCTTCCTTATCAGTCAAGTGGGATAACTGAGGTCTATTCTCTGATTCTTTGCTTTTCCCAGCAAGATGGGATTGCCCATAGTGGCAACTAGCTTGATGATAATTTTTACTGCATTCTTCTTTTCTATGTCTCTCTTTTCTACTCTTATCAGTATTTCTTGGAATTACTTAAATATACTGCTTGTTAGGCCGGGTGCGGTGGTGCACACCTGTAATCCCAGCACTTTGGGAGGCCGAGGTGGGCAGATGACAAAGTCAAGAGATCGAGACCATCCTGGGCAACATGGCAAAACACCATCTCTACTAAACATACAAAAATTAGTTGGGTGTGGCAGTGTGCACCTGTAGTCCCAGCTACTCCAGAGGCTGAGGCAAGAGAATCACTTGAACCTGCAAAGTGGAGGTTGCAGTCAGCCAAGATCATGTGACTGCACTCCAGCCTGGGCAACAGTCGGGACTCCATCTCAAAGAAACAAAAAAACAAAACAAAACCAAAAAAAAAAACACTGCTTGTTTTCTCATCTTTGTCTTAATGCCTGCTCTGGGACAACCCAATCTTAGACACAACAATACTTGTTAAAATTTTTGTTTTAAAAAAAAAAATCTGAAAGTTCTCCAGGTCAAAACCACTGTCAGATGTCTTCTGTTTTATGGATACAGATTCAGATTCAGTTGTTAGACTTGGAATTTGACTCCAAAGCTTCATATTTAAAAAGCTGTGCATGCTGATGTTCAAATAAGTTAAACAGAAGACATTTAAAGAGCTCCGTATTTATGAAATTAAAGAACACATTAAGCAAAGGTCTACACCTTGGCCACCTGTGGTTCGTGGAATAAAACATTCTTTTGTAAGGGTTTAAAGTTCCAAAGCCAGATGCCAAAGCTTCTAAGTTTACCAATGTTTAAAGTTATAATGATAAATTATATCAGACTTTCAACTTGTCAACTATTTTCACATGTATTCTTTCTGTTACATTTGTCTCTTCTAGCAGATCAGTGCTTTTTTTTTTTTTTTTTTTTTTTTTTTTTTGCTGTCTTAGAGAAAAAAAGAGCTACTGATTGGAAGAAACATGAGCTCTGTTCTTCCTGCGTGATTACAAACTCCAATATTTAGACAAGTGTAACACAGGTGGCCCTGGCCTGAATCCCTATCTGTTGACATGACACCAAATAGGAGAGCTTCTTTAGGAAAACTGATTCATGAGGAGTTATGTGCTTTGTTCTTGACTACAAATAAGGTGAAATATTTACATGATAAGATTAGACATTTTATAAATAACAGGCAGATGTTAAGGATTGATTCTCTGGAAATGCTAAAGGAAATAAGACTATAAGCCCTTCCAGGGCAGGAATCTTTACGTTTGCACATCCCCAAATCTTCATGGAATATACGGGTTGAAATAAATGAAGAAAGAAATAATCTTTTCATGCACGTTACCAGGCACAGTGCCAGATACAGAACAGAGACTGTATAAATGCCTGATTAAATAAGGATAAATAATAATGAGTGATAATTAACTAAAGATAATAGAGATGAAGAAAATGAGACAATTAATTAAAAGCTACTACTCACAGCTGCAGCTAAATTCTGCTGGAGTTTTGCATGTATACTTTAAGGTGTTGAGATACACACACACACACGTTCCAGGTTTAGAAAGTAACGTAAAGTCTCCATCACAACTAGATTGTTATTATAGGTGAGAATTTGAGAGACACCCTCCCAATGGTAATGCGACATGGGCTTTTCCCTTAGGAACTTTAATTCCTGTGCCTTAGAATGGGAATTTATCCTACTCTGGAAAAATAAAATAACTGGCAACACAGGCCACAATTTTCTTCATGAGAATGTGGTCATAGTTATTCAGAGGCCAAGAAAACAGTTATCTACCACAAAAGTATGTTTGCCTTTAGAGACACTACCTTGGGATTATGCCTGCTAGAAAGAGCCAGAAGTACTTATGCTCAGGACCTTAAAATCATCAGATCTCTCCAGGGGAGGAGAATTGATTTGCTGGTTTGTGTTTTGAATGAATTTCTCTTTTCAAAATATGTGGTTGGTTTTGGAAAGCACTATGCTGCTTCCATCTAGACACATACGTATACAAGTTTGTATATACAGTGTATCTGTTATATATGTGTTCAATTTACACACACAGTTAGTCATATTTATGTTGGAGTGTGTATATTTATGTGTGTGTGAAATAATATTTAAATAATACTCAAAAATAATACTTAAAATAGTGCATAATTCTGTGCTTAGGAATTTAAATGATAATCTGGAGACAATGAAATTTTGGTGCGGACATTTGGATTTTTGACACTTGGAACATTTTTTTCTCCCTTACTTTGAGATAACAGGTCTGATGTCATTATCTATGTCTACTTCCTTTCTATAAATGCCTCAAGGGCAAATTCTGAAAACAAATAAAAAACTTTGCCTTTCTCTATACATAGACACTTAAGCTGGCTTTTTTTTTTTTTTTTTTTTTCCTGGAGGAAATAACTGTCAACTAAAATTGGTTCTTTCCTTTCAATCAAAAAATGTTCCCGACGTGCTGGAGGCCTTTGCTGTTGCCTCACATGGCCTGAGAAACATAGTTTATTTTCTTTTAGGGTTTTGATGAAACAACTGAGTACTTTTAAGGAAACAAAAAGGGGACATTAGCATGAACGTAGGATCGTTGGCAAGAAAAAAAAAGCCCTAAAAATGCGAGGTCATAGGAGACGCATTACACCTATGTTTTGTATTTTATTTCTTGCAAATTGTTATTTTTAAATGAGGAAGAAGAGCCAGACCTTTAAAGTGGTGCTTGGTTTGCAGAGTCTGATTTCACTAATTTGGGAAGGAAATTTTTGTGTTGGAAGAAGTTCTATTTGAAAACATCAGCTTCGTTTTGAGTGTGGATCTGAGGTTTGGATTAGGTGGGCAGGAAACAGTG